AACTCAAAATCCTTCTAGAACTCCAACCCTTGTGGTTCATTATATAAGTAGAGGTCAAGCCTGTCATTATAGATTCATAAATAACCTAAAGTTTTAGCTCCTAAATTCTTGCTCTTAAGGTTATCTTCATTATGTATCACATTTTCGCTTATAATTCTATGAATCATCAGTTTGCCTAACAAAGATTTATGTGTTTGTGAACTTAGTTAATTCATATACTTTTGATAATCTAAATCTAATCACAGGTTAAAATGATGCAAACAAGAATACCCTCAAGCTGGTTCGGCCAACAAAACTCGTGGGGAGTTATTGCAATGACATTAGCTAGAAATGGGCGCGGCGCCTCCATCTGAAAAGGCAATATATGACAACTTGGACCAAATAGAAACATTTGCAATGTACATTTTGTACACACATTCAATATTAGAGCTAGTTTTGTCTAGTCAAAGCTTTCTTAGATTTATGTCTATCTTAAATATAGAGTTGTTGAAACGTGAAGTTTGTTGGATTGACCTTATAGTCTGAAAACTTTTCTATTATTTGAATTTAATTTGTACATAATCAATGGAAGGAATGTCAAAGATGTTTTCGAGGCACAGCATGCGTGCATCAATATTTTTCCACGCTGCAATTTGCAAGTTCACATTACACGCATTAACTTAATTGTAGTAGCATGTCGAACCTTGTGCCTCAATTAATTTTCAACAAACTGGCAAAAAAAATTTGCTGTATAGGATTGGACGAATCAAAGAACAATTATACACAGCACTACAGCAGTAGTTTCTTTTGACTTCTTGCTTGATGATTAATCTCATTTTGGACAAAACAATGTGATCGACGCTGAAAACTACAATTCAATAATTTGACTCCAATAGCAACCAAATCAGCTGTAAAAATCAAATAATGTTCTTGCTTTCGGTAGCTTTTGAAATTTGATTCATCAGAATCGTGGCTTAATTAAAATAAACTATAATTAGTGTCCAAGTTGTCAAATTGTACATGCAAGTGAATTGATGCAATATTTTTCCATAAAAGACTTAGATTTTCTCTATGTCTCTTTTGTAGCTTTCTAAAGCAAAGGTGGTGTCCGATCAGTTATAAGTTGCTTTTAAATACTGTGTGTGTTTACAAGTTTATTTTTTGGCTTTGTTGGGACAATAGTGTGGTAACTCATGTGGGGGTCTACTGTCTACATGATTGACAGGTTGAGGGAGAAGAAAGCAAATTGGGATGAATATTTGTGCTGGGTGAGCCACGAAGCAATGACCTAACATGGGTGTCATGTATTGTTGTTGGCTGTCATAATTCACAAACCATTTATGTCTCTTCACTCTCACTAAAATCCTGCAACAATATTTGTTTCAGTCTGTCGAAATTCAGGATTTCCACATGACCTCATAAGCCTTCATTCACTACAAAACCACGTGCCGCCTCTCCTATGGCTATACCAACATAAATATCACATATGTGAATGTAATCCCAATGTTATTGGACCCTTGGGTTCCATATATCCTCAATTATATAGTTAATTAATGTCGGCCATTATGAAGTTTATATAAATGGAAGTTTTTAGCAAGTCCCGCTTTTCACAAACTAAGCCAAACACAACCCACTATCTATATTAATTTCAATATACATAAATTTAGATTTCAACTTGGCTGGAAAAGACAAGTGTCACATGATGATGAACTTAAAAGCCTTATAGAAGGGGCCACGGGTTGAGAAAATAATTGTCGGCAACAATTAAAAGACAATCCAAAAGGTGAAAATGTCTTAATTTCTGGTGCCAGTACTACGAGTTGCAGAATGAGCATATGGGCTACCCAGTTAATTGCCTTATCCTGTTCCTTCGATTCTTCAATGCTTTTTAATTTTGCCATCCACTTTAAGAGACCTGGGGAAGACTTTTGTGTACTGCCACTGAATTGGAAAGCAAAAATTCAAATTAACTTTACGGTCTACTCATCATAATGTGAATTCCACAAGTAATACTATGTATTCATACATATATAAGTCCGAGCATAGTATATATATTAAATTAGGGTTGCCGTCCAACAACTATGCCCACATTAATTTATTGTTTTTTAAATTGATTAGAACGTTGAAAAAGAAAGAAAAAGAATTTCACCAACTTCTTAATTATATATCCATGTCCTAGACTGATGAAGATCTAAATCTTCAAATACAAGATCCTAAATCCCATGCAATTAAATCCTCAACTCATATCAATCTACTTTTAAGATTTAGAAGAAAGTTGAAGGAAATCTCTTGGATACATTATCTAGCTGCGAAAACGCGTTTATTTTATGGTTCACTTTCAGGCAGCTCATTATAGATAGCTAGATATTATGACTACAATTATTTTAATTTGTATTTTATAATATAATCTCAATGTCTACCAATTAAGAATATCAAACTATATCAGTGCGCTCAACAAAGGGAGGACTGTTTTAGATTCCATAATATGAAATGAGAAGATATTACGTGCGTCAATTGCTCATTAGAAATAAAAATAAGCTTAATTCCTGAGCTGTTCCTCACTCTTAACTATAACGCGGCGAGATACTAATACTGAATCTGCAAGGGACGACAATTAGGAAGCATGACTCCTAAATACATTCCACCAACTACACAATTCTTTTTTGGCTATACATAATTAATTATCTCTTGTATTTTTATTCATTTGTGGATAAAGCCATGTATTATGAACTTGCCGAGGCTTCAGAGAAGCTTAGACTGATAGCAACTTACGATCCGTATCCATTACGATCATGCTTTTATATTAAATTATCCACTTTATATATATACAAGTTCGCACCGGAAACTATTGATTCTTACTATAATTTTAAATGAATTAATAGACATTGGTAGTTATAAATACAGTACTTTGATTCAATACTATAATAAATCAATTTACGTCTGATTTAGTTAATTATTAGCAGCATGTGATTGGTTGTAAAAAAGCAAGACTTACCTGGGTATCTTTTTTTTTTTAATCTTGTTAGACAATCATATACCTTTTGGATATTTAAGTTGTTTGGTAAGAGATTTATGGTTATATTACTTATGAGGTTAAGTTTATTCTTGAATTTTAATAAAGGTAATTACTAAAGTTTTTACCCTAACTTTAGAGTCCTGAGAAATTAATTAAGAGGTGCATATAAGCCTGGAGAATTGGATAAGGTGGGCGCGAACACTTCCGACTCCAATTCCAATCACAGGAAAGAAAAAAAATTAGATTGTAACAACGGAGATGATACTGGTTGTGAAGTGGGGCCAGGCCACACCTGGGTCCGAACTTGCACTTTCCAATTATTTCCGACATAGTTAACCAGTGAGATGGTCCATGGACCACTTTGCTATTGTATTAAAATGAGGACACGTAGCAAGGCGCAATAAAAACAAATGGGATTATAATTACCATTTCTCTGCAAAATAAGGCCAAATTCTAACATCGTAGCGCCCTGCAGGTGGTCCATGGATAAACACAACTTTTATACTCTGTCCGCCACTTTCTGCAAATAATGTAAGCTGCTTGGCTTTGTAAAAAGTCTATCAAAGGTACACTTTCTTCAGGAATTAATGGTTTCCCATTACTAAGAATTAGTTGGATCCTATTGCTTCTTCATAATTCCTTCTTTGAAGTTTATATTAAAAGTTTCGGACACAAGTACTCCTTTTATTTTTTGGCCATAAATGAGGTTCCTTGAGTTTGTTTATTTACAGCCAGGTGTCTGCTCGAGTTTTTCATGGTCAGGTAACTAGCCAGAGGATTCAGTTGGTACTTAAATTATTAAGATATATATAATAAATTTCATTTGAATAGGTCAATTGCCGTCGAGCGTTCGTGCTCTCTGTCAAGAGCTTGTGACGTTAGCATGTCGGTGTATCCCTCTGATATCACACTCCTTGCTACTCCATTTATATCTCTGGAATATTGGTCATAATCAGTAAAATCAAGACCAAACTTACTCCTAAAAATAACATGCATTATTGTAAATTAATTATTTTAAGAATCCTTCTAAATTGCTGGATTTTTTTTTTTTATTATTTCTAGGCAGCATGCATGAGTTTTCAAATGTAAAATAAATATTTTGTCTCAGGAAGAGGTTTAAAATCTGTCGGGGAGTATCGTACTATGGTTAAACAAAGTAATTTAACTGCTGGGCTATCTATATATTTTAATTTAGTAATAATTATATATTTTAATTAATGCTGTGCTATCTATATATTTTAATTTAGTAATAATTATACATTTTAATTAATGTAGTTATATAAAACTTATATGAGTATATGTATAATTTATAAAAGGAAAAAAAATTTGATTATAACATCCTTTATATATGTTGCTGAAGTTTAAATAGAGGGTAGAATTTAAGGAAAAAATTGAGAAAAGATTGATACTGTAGGAGGAGCCAGTAGCCATGGGCATTAAAACTAACAATGGCTAGCCATAGGCTTGGGCCCATGGATTATTGGTTGATTATGATATTTTAATAGTACTTTTCTATCTTCATTGATGCTATATAATAAAGAATAAGTCTACCATTACAAATAACTTTATAAAGAAACTTATAAAGCAAAACGAAGAAAAAAATAAAAAAAATATAGAAAAAGAGAAAGAGAGAGAGAGATAAATGATAAAGATGAAGGGTGGAGGTTAACTTTGTAAATCTTCTTTGTAAGCTTCTTTGTAAGACTAGTACTGCTGATATATAAATCCAAAAATAAGAATAGGAAGAAAAAATAAAATAAAATAAAAAAGCCCCAAAAATAGATTTTGCTTCCCCGTCAAAAAGAATCCACCGTCAGTTCAAATATTTGTGTGTCGGAGTCATGTCTAGTCAGTCAATGCATCTCCCCACTATAAATTCTATATAAATGCCATGCTACACATTCGCCATTACCAAATCTCTCACTCAAACTCTCTCCAGTCTCTCTACTAAGGTTTCAAAGTTTTTAACACTCGACAAAACCCTAGGCCGGTGGCAACTATCAAAATGCTATCTAAGAAAGCTAGCAGCCTCTGCCATGGCGAAGATTCTTCTTACTTCCACGGGTGGCAGAAATACGACAGCGACCGATATGATAAACTTACTAATCCTAAAGGAATCATTCAGATGGGATTGGCAGAAAACCAGGTGAGTTAACAATAACATAATCACCAAATTTAAACAGCTTGAAAAAACAAAACCTAAATTTCATGCATATGTCCATATGTTTTTATTCACCTTTTTCGGTTTAGAAAGTGTTTTTGTCGCATGTGGTATATATAGCACACGTGACGATCGGTCGGTATAATTGACATAATTTATCACGCCTTTGTTTCTAAAATAGGCGTTTCGTAGTTACTGGTCTGACAGAATAATTACGATAAAGCTGATCTCAACGAATAAAGTAATTGATGCTTGTTTCTTGCAGCTTTCTTTCGACCTTCTTGAGTCCTGGCTTGCAAGTAATCCAGATGCATTGGTGATGAAAAGACCGAATGGAGAATCAGCATTCACAGACCTGGCTCTCTTCCAAGACTATCATGGCTCTGCAGATTTTAAGAATGTAACTTTCTACAACTCATAGTTAATAATTAATAATCGTTGGCTATGTAGTTTAGAACATACTCTTTCGAATATTGACATACATAATAAGAGTGTAAGTCTGACCTTTAACCTGACTTTTGCAGAAATTAGTAAATTTCATGGCAAGAATAAGAGAAAACAAGGTGAACTTTAAACCAGACAACCTCGTGCTCACAGCGGGTTCCACTTCAGCGAACGAGATTCTAATGTTTTGCCTTGCTGACCCTGGCGAGGCTTTTCTCCTGCCCACTCCTTACTACGCAGGGTATAATATTTTTATTAAGTCTGATTTGTTTTCCCCTATTTTTTGGGTTAAAACTTTCTACTCCAACTTAGAACAGTTTACTCAACAAATATTATCAATTTTCCTTGACAGTTTTGATAGAGATCTTAAATGGCGAACTGGAGCTGAAATAGTTCCAATACATTGCTCAAGTTCAGATGGCTTCAAAATAACCATGTGTGCACTGGAAGAAGCCTATCAACGGGCCAAAAAACTTAACCTAAAAGTTAAAGGGGTTCTGGTAACGAACCCTTCAAACCCATTAGGAACAACCTTGACTCGAGATGAACTCAACCATCTCATTACCTTTTCCATCGCAAAAAATGTTCATATAGTTAGCGATGAGATTTATTCGGGCACAGTCTTTGATTCTCCTAGCTTTGTAAGCATCACAGAGGCTGTAATGGACCGAAACCTTGAACACACTGATTTATGGAGTCGCATTCACATTGTTTACAGTCTCTCAAAGGACCTAGGCCTTCCAGGATTCCGTGTTGGTATGATATATTCCAACAATAAAACAGTTGTTTCCGCTGCAACTAAAATGTCAAGTTTTGGCCTTGTTTCTTCCCAAACACAGTTTCTTCTCGCAAACATGCTCTCAGACATGAAATTCACCGATAAATACATGAAGGAAAACAAGGAAAGACTTAAGAAGAGAAAGGAAACGCTGGTTTCAGGCCTTAAACTCGCCGGAATCAACTACCTGGAGAGTAATGCTGGTTTGTTTTGCTGGGTAGACATGAGCCACCTTTTGGTTTCTAATACTTTTGATGCAGAAAAGGAGCTATGGGAGCAAATTATTGAAGAAGCTAAGTTGAACATCTCTCCTGGGTCTTCTTTTCATTGCACTGAACCAGGTTGGTTCAGAATTTGCTTTGCAAACATGTGTGCAGAAACAATACAAGTTGCACTGAAACGTCTCAAGGACTTTTCTCAGTCCATCAACTCAAAAAAAAAAGCTGGTAGCTGCTCGCGGCAAAGGAGGTTTCTCCTCGGCAAGTGGGTTTCCATGTTATTGCCATATGATCCTGAACCAGATCGTTAACTATTAATTAAGCTAGCCTGCCTACTTCCATCAGACAATTCAGTTGTCACTCTTTAATTAAGTTCCTTCCTAGTACACAGATTAAGCAGTTTTTTTAGTTAAGCTTTAATGATCAACCACCAAAATTTACAGTTCTTCGGCGTATAAAGTCTACTGCAACTATCTCATTATTTGCGTAGTCTTGTCTGGTCTATGCATTCGTAGTGATGGACCTAACTTTGTTCTATTGATCATCATTATGTACTTTATAGTCGATCGATTAGTAAACTTATGCTAATGTATTTATATATATATATATCCATTTGGTCTCGTAGCTAGTATTATGAGTCTTAAATTTGTTTGAGAGGCAGTAATTAATACACAAGATGAACAAATATCAAGGTTTGAGTATGACGTTACACATAAATCTATCTAAATGCATTTAGAGTACATATGAGTGTATCATTAAATATGAGGGCAAAAAAATATAATACCGCAAGATTTGCTGTAAATATTATTGTCAATGCAGTAAAATTTAGCTTATTTGTCCTTATTGTTATCAGTTGTGGTAATTATATACTCGATTTTTTATTTTATTTTATAAAAAGCACCTATATTTTTATCAGTTGTGGTAATTATTTACTCGAAATTTTTTTGTTTATTTTATACCAAGCACCCATGCTGGCTTGTAGCAGCTTAAGCAGCTTAAGGAATCTCTACATCACAATATCCTGGCCCCTGGGGACAAACTTCTGACACAAAACGAATGGGCCAATACTGGCCCATACAGCACTTGAGTTGAGTCAACTAATTAATAACATAGATCCAGTACACATCCCGTTTGGGTTAACAGTTAACTCTTTTGGCACGTATCTTTTTTATTTATTTATTTAACTTTTATTATTTTCATAATTTATCACATATCTTAACTAATCTTTTTAAAACCTTAAAATTATTAGTCAGATAAAAGTTTCAGTAACCACCCCTATTAAAGTTTAAAGAGAGTCAAACTTAATAGTTCATTAAACTATTTTTACTTTTTTACCATCAGGCCATCCAATAATAATTATCGACACGTATGATGTATCTTTATCCCATGTAAATCCACGTCATCTCCACTAAATTAATAATTCATTGAAGGGTAAATAATATTAAGGGAAGTGATCTTCCATGCCCCCTAATTTGATCAATAGCCCTATTATATAGGTAAAATTGTAAAAAGGTAATAAGATAAGAATTAATATAATTAATAAGTAACTTGACCAAAATATCTTATTTCCAGCAACAATTTCCATCTTTTTGACCCAAACTTTCTATCTATTCATCTCTTTCAAACCAAGTTTGCTACTTAATAGATACCCCTTTTCCTGGAACGAATGCATCTAGACTTGACTACTTTAATTGATCCAATTAAATAACAAAATTTTATGAAAATAAAATAAAATAATATTCTCCTAAAAACATACAAAAACAGGCCATAAATTAATTACTAAAACAAGTGAGAATTATAATTGACTGAAAAAAAAAAGGGAAAAAGGAGAAAGAGATAACATGTTTTTAAAATTTTGAGAAAATTGTGAAGTTCTAAATTTCTAATCAGTTTAGATTGAAGTTACAAGTAATAACTAATTGAAATAGATCACCACTAAGGCACTAACCAACCTTTGTCAAAGTATTTTCATAGATTGTGTTACTTTTTTTAAATTTAATCTGTTAAGAATAAATTTGTAAATTTACAATTTTACCCTCGTAAAAATAAAAGATGGGGAACTACTAATCAATTAAGTGGGTTTAAAAATCATTTCCCTAATATTAATCCCTTACCCGTAGCCCCGTCCTCTTTTAACGTGGATGTAACTCTACATGTTATTTTTAATAGATAATTTAACTGAAAATAGTTTTATTTTTCCAATCTATATATATATTTTTTTATCAATTGAAAAGTTACAAAAGTAGACGAAAAATCTGTAATAAATCTATGAACTCACCAATTCAATAACTAGATAAAAATTGTGTGATATAGTCAAGTATGATAAAAGAAAGAATTAGTAATGATATAAAAAAAATAAAAAATAAAAAAGAGGAAGAAAAGGTTGATTTGTGAGCAAGATAATGGTGGAGAGGAAGCTACAATAATGAACCTTGAAATAAGGCATAAACTATGGAACTTGAGGTATTTGTTGAAGCAATAATGCAATAAGCTTTGAAACAATAACTTGGCGAGATTGATGCGTGGAAGGGAAGGGAGAAGGGGGCAAGGGACGGCAGCTTCATTGGAAAAATAATGGCTATGTTTGGCTTATTATTTTTATCCAGATTCTGGATCTTATTCTTCAAATAATGTTTGGCACATTATTCCAAGAATATTACCCTAGTTTTTTAATTACTTTTAGATCCTATAAGGTTATTAATTTCATCAAATACACCCTAAAAAAAAGTTTAAAAATTATCAAAAACACCCCCACAACCCATACTCGCCAGATTCCGGCAACCACCATCGGTGGTAGCCGGAATCTATACAACGGCCAACCTGCCAACCATAGATGGCCGGAAGTTCACTGATCTGGCCTTTTCCGGCCAGATCCACCACGGATCTGGCCGGAAAAAGATAGATCTGGCCGTGAACGATGGCCAAAGAAATGGTTGTCGTTGAGGTCAACGAAGGCCAAATCTTGGCCATCGTTGACCGAAAACGACGGCCATATCTTTGGCCATAGCTGACGGCCAAAGATGGCCGTCGTTTTAGCCTTTTCCGGCCGTCAACGGCCACAACAGGCCGTAGATCTGGCCGGAAAAGACCATAACGACGCGTTACGACACAGATCTGACCAGTCTGTGTCGTAACGCAATTTTTTGACCAGATTCCGGCGGTGGTGGCCGGAATCTGGCACTGCAGGTGGTGGGGGTATTTTTGTCAATTTACATGTTGGGGGTATTTATGAAATTAGCAAACTTAGGGGGTTTTTTAAAAATTTTTAAATTTTACCTCGTAATACTCCTGTATTTAATTATCCAATACTATCTCCAAAATCTTACCCAAAATAATAAACCAAATGCACCCAATCAAATTTTAATCTCATCAAATAATGGAATAAAACTATGTGCACTAACCAATGTGTACTAATCCAAGTACTAACATTAGAAATTTGAAATTCCCTCAAAAAAAAATTTTAAATTTTCAATGTTAATACTTAGATTAGTATACATTAGTTAGTGCACATAGCATTACTCAAAATAATGTATTTTCGGGATCACACACGTCACTACTCACTCAGCCGGGCTGGACTCTAGTTAAAAACGCGGAAAACGTGCAAACAGCCAAACACAATCGTGAGTGTACCAAATGACAGTGTCTCTTGTTTAACCGAGTAGGCGGTTCCTTCTTTCGGAATCTGACTTAACTGGAATGTTCTCTTGTTGTCTTCCACGTGGCCGTTCCTAAGTTCCCGCAAATCTCAAATCAAAATATCGAATAGACAAACAAACAACGTGACATTCTCTCTCTACCCCCGTATCTTCATATGAAAAACAAATTACTTGTTGCTTTAGAATAACGATTAACGAATATATACCTAACTTAAATATTATTACCAATCCCAAATTTCTCCAATTTTTATTTGAATTTTAGGTTTTCATTCAATTCATCTCTTTTCAAACCAACGCTATCTGTTCATGTGAAGTACAAGCAAAGCGTGGCCATGGGATTTAAGTTGCTTCGGATTCAGTATTCGATGTATCGTTTGACTTCAATATCTCTGAATTCTGATTGTTAGTGGCTCTGAAAACTTTACAGGTTTGTTATTGATCTTCATCGTTTTATTCATTCTTACGCTTCTTTATTGAATTTAGTTTGGTTAAATATTCATTTATGTGTGTTTTTTCTCCGTTTCTTGGATTTCACAGTTGGTTTAGTACTGAATTGATTTAATTTTTTTTTTCCTTTTTTTTTTTTTCTCTTTTACTTTTATGGTTAAAATTCAGTCAGTGATTTTGAGGCAAGAATAAATGATTTTGTAAATTAAAAAAGAGTTGTTTGGAGTACATTGCATACAAAACAAAACGTGAATTCTGCCCTTGAGTAGGAAGGAATTGCTTGTTGTATTTCTGGGATTATACAGAATTATGCTTTATTGCAGTTTAGAAGACATTGATTGTGGAGAAGAGTTCTGTTATAACAAACTGAGATGCAAACTTAGCAGCCATGATGTTATACTGATGTTTTGATTACTTAGATTTGTAAAGGCTTCAGATAGAGGGGAAGAAGATGAATATTTCTGCTCTTTTAACTTCTGCTGGAATTAATATAGCCATATCTGTATCACTGTTGTCGCTGTACTCCATCTTGAGGAAACAACCAAGCAATGTTAGTGTGTACTTTGGTAAGAAGCTTGCTTCAATGTGCGACAAACGTAATGATCCTTTCAGCTTGGAGAGATTTGTACCATCCCCTAGTTGGATATTGAAGGCTTGGGAAACAACTGAAGCAGAATTATTGGAGCTTGGAGGCTTGGATGCTGTAGTTTTTATCAGAATAGTTGTTTTCAGGTGAGTTAATCCTGTCCAAAAGAAAACAATGAAAACTTTGAATTTTCATTGATTAATATTGTGATTTTGTTAATGATATGTCTTCTTTTGACTAATTTAGCTGACAAGGTAATGTAATCATTCTGTTGGTTTTTTTGTACTACATCTCTTATTGGTTGTTATGTACACCTATGTACCTCCAATTTACCTTCCTAGTGAATTTTTATAGATCTGCTTACATTTTTCATTTCTGGCCTAGAAGTTTCCTATTGTAAATACAAACTTTTGAACTGCTAAAAAATCTTATGTAAGGTTTGTTTGATGTTGACTCACAGACTCATTTCCATGCTTTTAGAGTCAGTTTCCACTGTTTTCCATTGTGGTTTTCTTATTGCTATTGCTATTTTTCCTCTAAACAGTATCCGAATCTTCTGCATAGCTGCTGTGATTTGCATTTTTCTAGTGCTTCCAGTGAACTATTATGGTAAAGACATGATCCACAAGAAAATCTCTTCGGAGTCACTGGAGGTATTCACAATTGCAAATGTCAAAGAAGGTTCAAAATGGTATGATTTATATTTTCTTTCACTAAACTACTTAATAGAAACACTTGTTATATAATTCATATATTGAATGATTTTCTAGATGCTCACATAGTGATGCATACACAGAAATTATTCAAAACAAAAATATGGACCTAGTGTTCCTCTGTTTTCACCATGGAATTTTTTAGAATTTCTCCTTTTTCATTTATGTGCTATAGGAGAGTATGGAGAAAACAAATGATGTTAATTGTAGAAAATTATGTCAAACCTTGATACTCTATTGATGTCAATAGACCATTGTGATTTTTTTTTGTGAACTTTATAAGAGGAAAAGTGGTTACTCATTTGTTGTTTTTCTTTTTCAGGCTTTGGGCTCATTGTCTTGCATTATATATTATATCCTGCTCAGCTTGTTTTCTCCTTTACTTTGTAAGAATGTAGAACCAGGAATTGTATTTTCTCTTCGTGTGAACTTACAATTTTTCTAGCTAGTACCTACCTATTAATATATGTTTCAGCCATTTTACAACCATTCCTACTTTCCCTCAGGAATACAAAAGCATCACTAAAATGAGGTTGGCATACATTACGCGGTCTATTCTGAATCCAAGTCACTTTACAGTTCTTGTTCGTGCTGTTCCCTGGTCTCCAGAACAATCATACAGTGATTCAGTGAGGGAATACTTTATGAATTATTATGCATCAAGCTACTTGTCACATCAAATGGTGTATCGGTCTGGTACTGTTCAAAAACTAATGGTGCGCGTCTCCTTGAGTGAATTCTGATGGTGAAATATTTGAGTTTCTTTTTTTTTTCTTTTTTCTTTTTTTTGGGGGGGAAAAGTATATGAAGTCGGACTACACTTAAAAAATGGTAGCAGAATTTGTTGGATAAAGGATTAATTTCCATTGATTTAGTGTTTTCTTAGAAATTAGAGGAGAATTATTTTCCAAGAGTTCGTGATATGTTCTAATTTTTTTCCCTGACAATGCTCAGAATGATGCAGAGAAGATGTGCAGGGTGTTTAAGCATGTTTCCTCTGAGAACTCTAACCGGAATTCACTCCCATGTCATTTTTGTGGTGTAGCTTCAAATCCTTTTATGATTCTTTCTAGTGAAACAGAGAGTGAGAAGGGGAATGTCAGATTTGATGTCCTGGATTTAGCTGCAGAGAAGGTAAGAAACCGGGCATGATTGGGTTAAAGACTCCTGTTGTGTTGTCATCAATGTTGTATATTTTAAAATGTTGAATAACCATAATCCTAAAAGCTTAAGCTGGAAAAGTCCTAACACTAATATTTGAGCTCTAGCATGCTCTCATGTGCATTGCTGAAGTTAATTGAATGATTTCCATGTGGATCAAATACAGCTTCATTTTGATCTGTATTGTAATTTAATTTGTAGAGTGGATCACTGGGTTGTTTTTAAGTATTTAAACAGAATAACTCTCATTCATATAGGATCTGATACTTGTAAATAACTATAATACAAAAGCTTAATCTTATAAAAAAGTGTCCAACAATGATATTTGTTATCTAACATTATGCCTTTCTTGTTGTCTCCCCAAGTCAGGGGGTGGGGTGGGTGTCGTATTGTTGTTTCTTCAGTTTAAGAATTAAAACTTTATACTTTTCCTGAGATGATTAAGAATTATATAAGTAACAATAGTACTTTGTGGTTCAGAAAGACAGAAACATAGTGTGCTTGTACTTAAACCATTTTTCAAATTGGTTTATTCCCCCTCAGCTAACAACTACTTTTACCATTAGTTAACAAGATAGGGCACCATAGTGGTGCTTTTTGTTTGGTTGCATTTAACACTTGACTATAGACTAGTAGTCAAACAGGTCTGATGATATTTGTACAGACTACAGATTAATGTTATGATCTTTCTATTTTACCTGTTTATGCTTTGAAGAAATGTTCTCATTTATCCTTAACATTTCACTTGTTATTTGTTACAACTTATATCAATAGATCCCAATGTCCTCTCCAAGTCAGAGGTAGGGGCTTCTATATTTCATAGATTAACCTAAAATGTGGCATATGTAGCATCCAATATAAACAATATGAAGTTGTGCATGTCATGACAGTTTAAGTTCAATAATTCACTTTGTTAGTTTGACCTGTTAGAGTAGCAGATACTTCTATCTAATGTAAGGATAGTGTTTATGCTTTTTCACGGCTATGATCATTCTTTCGATTTTATTATTATTATTATTATTATTTTGGCTGTTTTATTTTTTATTATTTGGGGAAAGATGTTTGAGAGATGGCAGACTTAGTTGAAAAAGCCAACTTTGTGGTGTAACTTGTTTTGGTCTTCCAGCAGGAGTATGCAACTGCCTTTGTTTTCTTTAAAACTCGCTATGACACCATTGTTGCTTCAGAGGTTCTTCAATCAGCAAATCCCATGTTATGGGTGACAGAAATGGCTCCTGAACCACGTGATGTTTATTGGTCAAACCTGTGCATACCGTATAAACAACTTTGGATTCGGAAAATAGCAACACTTCTGGCTGCTATTGTGTTTATGTTTGTGTTTCTTATTCCTGTGACATTTGTACAAGGCTTGACTCAACTTGATCAACTATCACATGCACTTCCATTTCTGCGGGGACTTTTTAAAAAGTAAGTAAAATTTTTGAAAAATGAATGTACAAGTGTTATGCGTATTTTATTGGCCATCCTGTAACATGTATTTTGGTTATGTCTTATCTGCTGCTGTTGCACATGGTTAAGAAGTTTCAAAGTTAAACATGCTGCCCTTAAGAACTTGACCTGAACTGTCAAAGTTAAACATGCTGCACTTAAGAAGTTGACCTAAGTTTCAATGCAATCTAATGTCTTAAATACTGGTCATGTATAGAGAAACAAAACTTTATAAGAAAAATTATATTGATGTTAGTCATGTTACTATCCGACTCCATGTGTCAGCTTATTTGCATCATATGAATGTGACATGTGACACGTGACATGAATATGTTGCCATTTTGGCGGATAGAAGCCTAAATGTGCTGTGGATGGATGGGAGAAGTGAAGCACATAATGCCATCTAGCGTAGAAATTCTAGACTAAGATTCTTGCGGTGGAGTACTTCATGTTAGAGGCATTTGATTGTACTTAAAGAATTCTTGACCTCGTATAATGTATAGCATATGTGGATGTAAGAACATACGTCTTATATTTGAGTAGGGACTGTTTTAAGGTTCATGTCTGGTTTTGCTTTGTTTCAGTGATCAATACAATACAGCATGAATGCTCTTTTACATGTATTTTTGAAATGCAAAGCCTTATTGAAAATCATGGTTCTTCGTTCTTCTTTTTTTCCAACTTGTTATACTTTCTAGAGAAAACATAAAGATAGTTTAGCTGAGAAGATGTGATGTAAGACACAGAGCTTGTGAACTTACCTTGGGCTCATATGCAGGAAATATGTGACACAGGTGGTAACTGGTTATCTGCCAAGTGTCGTTTTGATTCTGTTTTTGTATGCTGTTCCACCAACAATGATGCTATTCTCAACCATCGAGGGTGCTGTCTCACATAGTGGGAGGAAAAAGAGTACATGCATCAAAGTATTGTATTTCACAATTTGGAATGTTTTCTTTGTTAACGTCTTATCGGGGTCCATTATTGGGCAATTGAGTGTTTTTTCAAGTGTAAAAGACATACCCAAACAACTTGCTGAAGCTGTGCCAATCCAGGTGCTGTTTCCATGGTTCTTGCTTGAATATGTTGATTTATATTTAATACATTCTAATTATGCTACAGTACTGCATATTCTTTAGTGAGCTTAGTGCTTGTTTTGGGAAACTCGTAATTGATCATTGTAACAAGGCTTCATGAAGTTGTTGAAAGCATTTGAGCCCATTCTTAATTTTGATTTATCATAATACAGGAAACTTCTATTTCCTTTACTTTTCTCCACATAGCTGTAATATGTCAAAATTAATTCTAATTATAACATTGGTGTATCAATATCTGCAGGCTACCTTCTTCATGACTTATGTTTTAACATCGGGGTGGGCAAGTTTGTCGGTGGAAATTATGCAACCTTTTATTCTCCTGTGCAACATTTTGAAAAAATTTATATTCCAAATTAAAGAAGATCCACCTGATGGCACTTTATCCTTCCCATATCATACAGAAGTTCCAAGGGTCCTTCTGTTTGGACTCATTGGCTTTGTCTGTTCGATATTGGCACCCTTAATATTGCCCCTCTTACTGATATACTTTTTACTTGCTTACCTCGTATATCGGAACCAGGTGTGTATTTCCAATCAATGCTTTGCTTCTTCCTCTGTTAATCTAAACTGTTCTTTTTGTGTGCAAGAAGAGTCTCCTAATAGTTTATAGAGATTTAATCATTTTTGTTCACCATTCAGAGTGTTTATGAATTTACCCTTGAGGTCACTGAATTTCCACACCTGATTATTCTCCTATAGCTGTATGGAGTGAGGCTTAGTGGCTTTGGACATAACAAAATTGTTAGATGCGTCTGTTAGAAAACATGATTTTGGGTTGTTAAATATTAGTTATTCAGCTCCCTTTATATAGGTCAATAGTCATAAAGTTTTGGCATTCTTTAGGAGAAATGTGATGCTGATACTCTTAATGTTGTATTTTTTCATGAATGAGATACCAATGAACTCCAGTATGCATGCTTAGTATAAACAAATGCAAAATTGTTGATAATATGAACTGCCACTTGATGCTGAAGTGATGCTTAATATTGTTTTCTACTTTTTATGTGAACTGCTTTAAGATTTCTTGTCAGAAGTAAATTTGAAGGGGCAAGTACCCGATTCACTTTTATGTCACTTTCTCTGGTCAGAGAGTAAAAGTTGGAACTGTTTAAAACAGTTGATGAGTTGCTATTGATCGTTATCATACACCTTTTTTTTTTTTTTTTTGTCTCCTAAAGATTTTTGTTTTGTTTTGTTTATCTTAAAACGTATCTTTCAGATTATGAATGTCTACATAACAAATTATGAAAGTGGGGGGCAGTATTGGCCTATCGCTCACAAATCAACAATCTTCGCACTGGTGTTGACCCAAATTATAGCTCTCGGAGTCTTTGGGATTAAACGGTCATCAGTTGCTTCTGGTTTCATTATTCCACTGATTATTGGAACTCTTCTATTTAATGCGTATTGTAGCCAGCGTTTTTCTCCAACTTTTGATAAGCTTGCCGCTCAGGTACCCATTAGAAATGCTTATCTCTCTCTCTCACTCTCGCTCTCTCTCTTTTTGTGTGTGCCAAGTTTGATGACTTAGTCGTTCACAGGATTTTATGGAGATGGATCGACGAGATCAGCAGGATGGGAGGATGGAAGAGATTTACAAACAGCTGCGATCTGCCTATTCCCAGTTCCGGTTAAGTCAGGACTTGTGTAAAGCTGCACCTGCACATATAAATCATAATGAGAACACCTGTAAAGATGTAAACACAAATAGTAATGAGGACCAGGAAAGCATTCAAGATTCAGAGGCCGCATTGAGGCCAGGTATGTTTTGATTTACCCTTATTGAAAGACACGCTATCTGGAATCAAAATAGTAAATGTTTGACCGTCTATGGCTTTTATTTTCAGGGACTGAAATAGGCTCGTAGATAAATCTGGGTTTGTTCATTGATATTCTAAAAGAGGACGACCTAATGGGACGTGAAACTAGACCATTCATTTTAAAAGAACTGCTGATGGTCCTTGTTTGTACCAAGGGTTTTGAAGAATTACTATCGGCAGAATATATTTGTATATAGGCAATTTACAAAAAGTAGCACCAGGTACAAATTAGGCTTTTTTTTTCTTCCTTGCTTTTTACATTTATATTTAAATTGAGAAGTAGAAGAGGACGAACTTTTTTTTTAAAAAACAGATTGGAGAATGAACTTGTATCATTAAGTAAATGAACTCTGTGAACTGTAGTTCTAATTGGCGAAAGTTTTCCTGACAAGAGTAAGGTTCATATCATGCATAAAAACAATTAGCAATGACTTAATTGAAAATTACTAATTCACTTCTGTAAACAGATTGCTGATAAGATAATATAAACAGGAAGATGACTTATGGCTGTCGTATGAAAGACTACGGCACAGTCAAAGATGGAGTATGTTATCAAAGTACTAAGCAAAAAACTCACTTGAACCGAACGAATCACAGAAGTTTGATAAAACATGTGGATGTACAACAGAAAAACTGAATTTAATATTCTGCATTTCTGGCCAATGGATTTGAGATGGAATTCAGTCCATTGCCACTATCAATTTTTTCCACTAAATTTCTCCACTGCCACAAAACTTGCATTAAACCACCGTTTGCAACATGCAAAAGAAATACCCTCGTTTGTAGTGAAAAACATGCGGACATAAACTTGACAAGACCAAAGAAGCAACCGATGCTCAAAAGATGCTGGTGCAAACCTACTCCCTGTGAGCAAACATACAAATATTACATACATATTTCCACAAACCCAACTCTGAAAACACGGACACAAAGGAATAAGAAGGATGCAGAAGCTGATTTTACCTCTGATCTGCCAAACACTTCCTGTAACGTGTCCCTCAAGAAGTCAGACATCAAACAGCCAACGGCCAGACCAAAGGGTATCACTAACTCTTGGTTTCGGGAAATGGAGAATACAGCATCTGGTAAAAAGCTAAAAATGAATAATGCAACGAGTGACCACTTCAATGCCTTGTGTCCAAGAAAAACCATTCTCTGTAAAACTACAGCCTCAGCCTTCTTCCATGGAAAATCCTTCACCGACTCAGGAACCGTTTCCCATAACCTCTCCTTAACAATACCCAATTGCAGGCCCATCTTATTCGGTTCACCCATTTGTGCCATAATTACTTTTCTGCGGAATTTGGGATAGATTGGGTGATGGGCACCGCACAGTGAACCCCATTGGAGTTGAGAAAGTTGATATTTACATAGTTTAATCTGTGCGTACAAAGATAGAAACAACCAACTCTTACAATTGAAATGATGAATCCAAAAATAAATTGACATTCCTAAAATACAAAATACATAACATTTCAACATATCGACTTTCAGAAGGATAATATATTGTAAAACAAATGGCTGATGGGAGTGAGCCTAGTGTCAAGTTAACTCAACTCATAATGCCTTTACAAATGATAAGCTTGGAAGATATTTAAATTCTCTGGGCGATTAAAGTTCAGACTTCAGACTATTAAAATTTCAATAAGTAGACTTTATTCAATCACTTTGTTATTGCCAACAATACAATCGAATTTCCATATCAAGACAGCAAGAGTGCGTACCTGAAATTTCGGAGTCGAATACAATATAGTGGACGCCGGAAGCGCCATTGACGGCATCACAAAGTCTTCCTTCTCTAGGGTTTTTTATTAGGTTGATGGACATGTGAATTGAGCTTCAGCCCATATTATCTGGTCTAAGTCTAAAGAGCAGAGCCCGAAGGCCGAAATCTTAATAACCTAGCCCACTGGATTTATGGGCTTTTATAAGAAGTCGTAACGAGTCCAGTTGTACTATTTTAATTTGTTATTTCAAGGTCTGTGTGCGATGTAATTATGAGTCCTGTAATTCGTGAGATTTTTGTGTTTTATATAAATTTCTGAATTAAAAGAGGTATGGATTCTAATAACATTATTAAATGCTTATTGTCCTTCTTATAAATAAGACTTAATTCTGTTAATTTACAACAAGAATTAATTTTATTCTGGTTACATAGTAGCATAGTATAACAAAATGTTCAGAAGATGTCAGCAGAAGAGAAGAGAAATACAGAGGGATCTAAAAAATGTTTTTGATAAAAGGATTAGATTAGGCTGTTGGTTGCTTGGAGTTGCAGAGGTAGTATACATATAAACGTGTCAACTTTCTTTTTTATTTGTAAAAGAAATTATAGGTAATATTTTGGGTGTGTGGGGGCATGTCATTAGCCAAATGAACAACATTATTAGAAATATATTAAAACATGAATAGCTAGCTAAATTACAAGAACTACCAGTCCGTCATCATGTTCCACAACTCAATGAATGAAATATGAAAGGCCCGGCCACCGACGTTTGTCTTCTTTTTTACTTAAACACAGTTGATATATAAATCTTAATTATACCCAAATATTAATTTATTTGGCATTAATTATAAAATAAGAACAAGGCTGCCCTGGCTGGCAGGTCTAAAAGTAGGACAAAATTGAGAGAATTTATCATGTTAGTGAGTGTCGTTATCATTAAATATAATAAGCAAATAGTAATTAAAAAAATAAAAGGAAGTCGTCGTTTGGTTGTTGTCAGGGGTGAGGCGGCCCCCTGCCATAGGCCTCAATTACGGATGGTTTTGGTGTTTTATTATCGTCATTGTGTTGACGGAATTAATGTGCGTTGCTAATAGTCAAATTTTTTTTTTTTTAAAATCTTGGTTTTTTCCATAAGGCTTTTTCTGTTGTGCTTCTTCTTCCTTGGGGATATTCCTTGTTACTTTAATTTTCACACTACTTTTTCATATTAATATAATTGTTTTTATGGCTTAATTAGCTGTAGCGTATTTTGGTTATTTTTGAGTATCTATGTCTGCATCTATTAAAATCAATAACAATTGTCAGGTTACTGCGATCAATTTGAGCGACAGAAGCAACATGTTTTCTGTGCTTATCATATATTATAATGTTCAAACTTTAAGGCTTGCAATGACTTACATTTTCAAGATGTGGAATCTTAAAAGATTAGTGAAAATCCCCCCATGTTCAGTACTATTCTTTTCGCTCTCTGTTTTGATAAAATCATTGGGTGACTTGATGGTAAAAGAGCAAAAGTATCTAACATACGCTCTTGATGAGTTTGAGTCCTCTTGGACACTAATAGGGATGACCACTGAATGGATTTATCTGATTGTTTATTTTAAGGTCCCAGAAGATTAGTTGAGGTGCACGCAAGTTGGCCGAACACCCAAAAACTTTACACTCTCACATCATTAACTCAAACTAAGTCAATTTAGATGGGAAGAGAATCCAAATCAGTTTCACACATACGGATTAATTGAAAAATATAGCTAATTCTTGTATGCTTTAATTTATTTTGACGTGAAATAAGAGTATGTGAAGAAATCAACAATGTGGTGGTAAGTGGCATGAGTATTGACTTAATGTTTTGTTTGTTTTAAAGGGGGCCAAAGTTAATTTAGAATAGGGAGCTTGACAAAAACATATACCAGTTTCAGGATTAATGTCAACCAATTCAAGCAGATGGTGACCGGGGCTTGCATTTTCAAGACAAAGGACAACAGTCTAATTATAATCATTATACAACTGTAATCAACTCAATCATTGTTTTTAGTCAGCTAAAAGGAGATCTTTTTGACCTTCCCAATCCCAAACATTACTAGGCATAAACACCAGGTCTTCTCATTTCATATGTGAATCAAGCTCTGCAAATTAATATTTTTAACTACTTTAAATTGACAGTTTTTATACGCACAATAACAGATCATCAAGCTGATAACATTTTGAATGAAATCATTAAGAGTATCAGTTCTATATGAATAGAAGATTTTCGTTCATATATATATATTAATAATGCAACTTCAGCAAACTCAATAGATTTCGTACATATGATAATTTTCATAGGTGTATACGTTCCTACATGCTATATATTTCAAATATGTTAGAGCTCTCGAACTTTTCTCATTCAACCAAAAGATAAATGTAGGCCAGGCTAGAGGAGTAGAGTCGCAAATGGAAACTAGACGTTGCAGCTATTGAAGACTTAATACCCTATAGTTAGACAGTGGTGGATTATAATTGTAATTATAGGTGCAAAAAATTAACATTCATTCATCATTAATGATATTGTTTGAAAGAAACTTAATGCATGGATGGGGATATATGGACCATGGCGTATAAGCAAACTAATGTAACTTGACTTATGAACTTAGAGTTAATCAAATTAGAAAACAATGATGTCAAGCATGCGTTTTTATTGACGGCATTTCAGGTTTAAATACCATAAAAGAAAGAAAAATATCATGAGAGATGAGAATTATATAAGACCTATCATGCGTCTATGTATTGCTGCTTAATTTTGGTTAATTATTTGCCGATTTTATATATTTCTTTCATTTGGTTGTATATATTAATTAAAGGTAATGCAGGTGCATATTTAGAGAAGTTCCTGATATAAGCGTACTAGGAATTCATCCTAACATCAAAGGGGAAATCACTGATCAAAGAGATTCATTCATCTGTATGTATATTCTCATAATTATGTAACCTAACTAGAGACGTTTTGAACCTTAACTATGAGACATCTGTGACTAACCATTGATCTCTATACATTAATATTTTTAACACAGCTGACAACGTATTTAAAGTTCATCTATGTATTTTTCTAACCTAAATTATCGTGAAGAGTATTGCACAAGTGTTTATGCCCATGTCGTTTGTAGTTAAGAGCGTTTGGACTATAATCAGCAAAATGGATTTGAAAATATGCATACATATATAAATTAAGCTAAACCTAAAGTTACTTTTTGAGGATTGGTTAAATTAATAAGTGGTTTGAGGGCGTGTATGAAGTCGTCAAGTCATGGAAAAAGAAACAATTAAAAATAAAACAAAATAAAGGGATACCTACCATATATATATACACACCTAGATAGGGTTGAATTATAGACGAAAGGTACTGGCTATTGATTATATACAAATAAGTAGGTAGATTTTCTCCTTAAGAAACTAGCAGACAGTTTGTTCATTGTTTGGCACAAATTTTGAATATATAAAAGGCTAGTTTCGAATGAAGCAAATGATCAAGGACAAAGGTCTCCAATATACTGCTCGACGACAAGTACTGTTTGAATATACAGTCTTCCTCTTCCTTGCTAATTAATCGATCCTAGTAGTCTTGGGGTCTTTTATGGGGACTGTATTGCATGCAGTACCAAGTCCTTATTGGAATCAAGTCAACAAGGAAATGCAGTATTGAAAATGATGCATATCGACGATTAAGAATATTACAATAAGAGGTTTGTATTTTCTGCTCATTTGGAGAGTTAAACTACAGCATATATACCTTTACTAGGAATGCACCTAAGTAAGAAAGGAGCTTCAAGAGACGAAAGAGTATTGAACCCAAAGTTGTAAATTCTCAGTTTTTCTAGATCCTAAGAAGGAAAATCGCATTCCTAGAGGAGCACAATGAGGCCAAGCCGTACTACTGCATCAGAAAAAACTACAGAAATCGAATGAGCACAAGTACAAGCACATAACATAGGAATGTAAGATGTACTTTGCTAAGATCTCAGGTTTTACTAACTGTATATAACTTAGTATAACAACTTGGGTCATAAAGGCATCTAAATATCATTCTCGGTGCCTTCTCTCGGGGTCTTGGAGGAATAATGTGTGGCCAATCATCTCTACACATTAATGGAATGTATGTGTGTGAAAAAAACACATTACACATACCATTTATGTGTACGATTTTTCTGGAGCCGATCATCTCCACTCGCCCAATTAACGGAAACAACACATTCAAAACACTTCTTTAGTCAAGAAGGTTGAGATGAACTAGTGCTATATTAACATATATAAACTTGAAGCTCCAAAGTCTCTAATTCACCTTCTTCATAAGAAATTTAGTCTGAAAAATAAAGTGAAAAAGAAGCTTATGAACGCACAAGCTAGTTAGATAAAATACAGTCATTAATATCAATGGATTAAGCATATGAAAAAGCAAGCATATCTCCGAATAAGTTTATTAGGGTCTCCTCTGAGATTCCAACACCACTCCCTACTGAATAGCTACAAGTTGAAACTATATCCATTTACATACATGCTAATGCGTTCCAGGGTACCTCAAGTCATTGAATGCATATTGTTGTGGCACCCCTTGTTGTATATCTTCATAGTTTGGACCAACAGGAGGGGAAACCAGAGAGCTCATATCACCCCATCCAATAGTTTCACGAGAAGCCATATCAATTCTATTATTCATCATCATGTCGTCCCCATAAAAGAACTCCAAACCATCTAACCTTTGTGGATTGCTGTATACCGTTTCTCCAAGCTCCCCTTGCAAATTGTTTTGTCCTTGCGGTGCTAGCGAATCAGTCCCATCTATATTGTAAAGGCTTTGCACATATTGTGTGTTGGAGTTGTTTAAGGCATCCACTGAAGAAGAAGATGGCATACTAAGGGACTGCTCATAAAATTGAGGATTTGAATACATGTCAACTGGAAACTGAGGACTTGTCCCGTCGTGTACATAGTGATTATCTTCGGAAAATCTTCCTCCAAGCTTGATAAGAAACTTTCTGATAGCTGCATGGTCGTTAAAGCGGTTTTCTTCATTTGAGTACGGTATTGGTGCCAGCACAGGCAGCTCTGGCCAGTAAGGACTCTCGTTATTATTGTTATCAGGAACCATGGAAATGGAATTTCCATTTCCTCTCTTCATCTCTTGCTTAAGGTTGCAACCTCTACGAGCCTGCTGTTCTTTGCGTTGCTTACCAAGAAGCTTCTTCTTCAGTCTAGTATTCCAGTAGTTTTTTATATCATTATCAGTCCTCCCTGGTAATTGTGCTGCAATAATTGACCACCTATTCTTGCAAATAAGGTTTTAATTAGTAATATCGCCGATAAAATCTTAGTATTGATAGAAGTTTAAATGGATCTTTTTGTTCTTGGCCATTTAATGCTTTCGAGATATAAAATTTATTATAAGTGATTGAAGGACCAAATTAATACCTGCTGCCGATACTGATATAGAGATTACAGATTATGTTGTCTTCTTCTTCTGAGAATCCTCCATGCTTGATATTGGGGCGAAGATAATTTAACCATCTTAGGCGGCAACTCTTACCACATCTCTTGAGACCTGATACAAAAGCAACCCTAGAGTAATAAGATATATTAACAATTCACTAAAGTTTGAACCACTGATTCAAACTATACATAAAGAAAAAGAAAAAGGTAAGGTTTGATTGGTTTTAATACCGATTTTTTGTGGCAAAGCGATCCAGTTACCACCAGTCCCATGCTGCTCGATGTAGGACTTCAGTTTGGCATCTTCTTCAGGTGACCATGGGCCTTTCTTAACGTTCGCTTTGTCACAGCAAGGGGCTCTCCCCATATTTTTCTGTGTTACTTTGAGCTCTGATGCTAGTTTCTCTCTCCACTATTGATATCTGTTATTTGATAACAAGAATTATAAGAGAGAGAGAGAAAGAGGGGAGTATATATAATTATAAAAGATGGAAGAGGATAAACATGGTTTTCTGCCAAAAAGACATAGGAATTTTTAAAAGTATGGCAAAAAGAAGTCTCTGATCATCGAAATAGAAAATTCGAGAAATTGAAAATGCCAGAACAGAAAGTAGGGTTTTTCTACTTGTCTTTCTTTGTCAAGAATCAGTTTATTTATTTTGGGCTGCTGTTTTTCTTGGAACTGTAACTCTCCAATGATCCTACCATTAATAGTGGGACATATATTGACACACATAGTTAACGCATTATTCCAAGCTCCGATGTTAACACATGCATTAACACATGATTAAAATCAGTGTATAGGTAATATGTTGTGTCTTCGTATCCAATATTTTTATTATATTAAGATCGCATTAGCTGTTATTGGATTAGGACTACTTAATCATCCTCATATAATTCACCATAACAACACATTTCACTCTATCCAGCATATAGGAATTTATCATATAGGGCACCATACAAAGATTCGCAACGAAATTTTCTCTCATATATGTTTTGTGTAAGCACCATTGCATTTTCGTACTGTATCTGTAGTCGAGAAACGTTAAATCATAGCATGGGGACCTCTTCAATTGGTATTCAACAGAATGGATGAAATATTATTGATAGTGTGGAAATCGAGAACAAAGGTCAAATCCATATGGGGATGGTAGCAAGCCAGGTCTAAACTAGTAGAGTTCTAGAAGAATTAATAAGGACAACGCACTTGCAGATATTGAACAATGTGGAAAATTAAGTGGAAATCTCCTTTTTGGTAGGTAACCAAATGACCAACAAAAGTTGAGGATTAAACTTAGCAATAATGTGGCAATAAAATTGTTCCTTTGAAAGTGGGTATTTATGCATCATCCTGAATAAGTAGTGAAGGCACCAGAACTCCTGACAAAAGGCAACTTTAAAGAAAGACAAATGTGTTAATTTTTTCAGATAATGCTGCCTTGAGGCAGCTCTCGCCCAACTAGCTAACCTTTTGAGCCCCCATTATGTGGATTGAACTTATTAGAATCTTCTTTTACGGAAATAGTTCCATTCACCTACCTACTTTTAACTTAAATCAATTAATTCACATGACGAATCAGTTAACTTCAAGTGATTCTCAGAAAATTCAAAGTTCTTGGAGGGGATCTACTGTAAGCTGAGCATGAAGTTGAACAGGGTTCAAATAAAAAAAACTAGTCATTAGTGACTCCGCCCTAAACATACATTAAATTCCTCTTCATTTTCTTAGATTAGTAAAATACAGAAGATGGGACAAGTATTTACATCGTGTGGGTTAAGGTATATGTACCTAATGCTTCACGTTCCCGTCATTCTAATTTAAATGTTTGAAAAATAAAGGTCTGCATCACCCTGACATGATAAATAGAAAAATTAACACACAGAAGCAAAGCGTTTCCCGCACTCGGACTCCCACCAAAACAAGTGGCCAGTAGTAGTAATATATTATAGATATCACACGTTAACAAGAAAAGAAAGCATTAATTTCCATCGGAGGACAAAGTCAATTTAGTTGGTCACGACTGCCTGGAAACTCTCTCTCTCACATATATTTCCAAGTTTGATTGGACCTACACGTTTGAAAATTCAGTGTTTTTTTTGACAATTTTGTTCTCCAATACAGCTCAAACCAACTTCCTTCTCCAGGCTATATTATCTTTCTCCTGTTTGAGAGCAACAAAAGTAAAATATCTCTCTCTCTCTCTCTTTTTTTTTTTTTCTTTTTTCTTTTTTATTGATATTGCGCAGACAGATTGGGCACAAGCTGTACAATCTCCATGCAATTTCATCAGATTTTACATCTTACCCGTAATTACATGAAACCACACTTTTTATTTTATTATATATTTAATGCTAACTTTAGAACTTCTCAATACTTTTTTAATGGTAGTTTACAGTCGTTCTTATATAATTAGTACAAAATCTGTCCAATAATGGCAAAAAAAAGTTCATCCAATAAATTATATTCAGGATATATTATTATTGCCCTAAAAGAAGGGATGATCATTCCCATCCATACACCTTCGCTCAAAAAGCAGAGTAGAAAAGATTTAAAAAGCAAAAGACGCTAATAATTTTTGGGCAATGTGGGCATTATATGTTAAGTGGTTATAGCCATGTGAAAGGCACATCATCCACAAGACTTGAAAAGACCAGCCACTTTTGGGTGAAAGTTGGTGCTTTATTTCGACCCAGAGATTAGAACGACATTGAAGAAAAGGCAATACATGAATTCACAGCTAGCTGTGGCTGAAATATGCAATCGTCAATCCCTTAACAAAAGACAAAATAATGAATTTTACCCTCCAAGAAGAAAACTAGAAAAAGACCTTCACTGGTGGCTTTGACAATTTAACTAAAGAAGAAACGAAATAATATGCATTGGACAGAATTTTGTGAACGAAATAGAGACTACGACAGGGACAAAATAATAATAGTAAAACAAAACAAACAGTAAACAAAGAAAAAATAATACGCGCGATTTACCATAGTTCACCCAATGTGGGCTACGTCCACCTGAGTCAATATTATTGCAATATATCTCACCTCTCTCGTTTACAATGAATGAATTGCTCACACACTCATAACAAGAGAAAAGTATGTTTATATACTAGGTTTAAGAGATTAAACCTAGTTTTACAAGAATTCATATTCCTAAGCCTAACCCAAAAAGGAATTAATAACTTAAAAGGAATCCTACAGCGGTTATACATGGAAAAGCCCAAAACCGCCTACGGGCTCGGGAGAGCTGCCCCCGCGACCCCCGCCCACTCACCGGGGAGCGGGGCACCCGCCCGCTGATCGGTCAGCAGGACCCCCAAGTGCATCTCCGTTACCCATTAATGCTAAAGTAGTCGACAACTCCAACATTTTGAAGTGAATTTTACTCTCATTTTGTCTGGTCAAAATTTAAATAGCTGTAGCTGTAGCAGTATTGTCTGATACTATCCAATTCCAATTTAATGCAGGGATAGCATATGCATGCATCCTGTGACTTAATTGAACACCATGCTTTGAATCTATATATAGTCTAAATTGGTCCAAGTAAATTTCTTGCTTCATTTGGTTTTATACCAATAGACACTATCCAATAGACCCATGATTGGTGCAGGAAAGGAATGAATCTAAATGGACATATTAAATGCCATTGGAGTTTTGGTTTACCACAAAATTTCCCTTATCTTCTATCAATTATAAAAACGACCCTTTTGTATATAGAGTACTAGTTATTCGTTGTAAGAAATGATTTTATTTATTTATTTATTTATTTATTTTGTGTGTGTAAATTACCAATTACAACTCTCTTAATGTTTAGTATATAGTACAAATTCCCATAATGAAGTCTGTTGATGTTAAAAATTTTAAATTTTAAATTATATTTTATAAATATAAATCTAGGCAGTAATATTTAAGGATATATATATATTTATATATCCGAAGATTAAGGCCTAGGGTTTGCAATTTCAAATGGGTAGCCTTTATGGAGCTGTGCGATGAGGCCGACAGAGTTCATTTCGAGCCCATATTTAATGGTCCAACACTATGAAACACAGAGTGCTAAATACACTACAAATAGCTAAGGCCCCGTTTGATTTATTATTGGGTAGTTTTTAGAATAATCTTTTGAAAAAAGTTAAATTGGGTGGGCATTACGATGTAAAATTTTAAAAATTAACATAAATACCTCTTTATTTATTTATTTACTGAACAGCCCCAAATATAATATTCAAAATTAACAAAACACCCCCAATATAATATTCAAAATTAACAAAACACCCCCAATCCACTCATAAATAAGGACAGCCGGCCACCAGCATCGGAGAGTGGTCAGAGTTGCCGTATCGGCGTATGACCGGCTCGATATTGCCGGTCATGCACCGATATGGCCTTTTCCAGCCAGATCCACCATGGATCTGGCCGGAAAAGGCTAGATCTGCGGCTAGATCTGGCTATTGACGGCCAGATCTGGCCGTATTTGGTTGTCAACGACGGCCAAAGATACAGCCATCGTTGATGGTCAACGATGACCAGATCTTGGCCGTCGTTGACGACTGTCTACGGCCAAAGATCTAGCCTTTTCCGGTCAGATCCAACTTGGATCTGGCTGGAAAAGGCTAGATCGGTGCACTACTAGCAAGATTCAGCCATTAGTATGCCGATACACCAGATTCCGGCCAGCTTCTGACAGTGGTGACCAGAATCTGGTAAATTTGGATTGCTGGGGTGTTTTTGTCAATTTTTAAAAAAAAATTTGGGGGTTGTTTAGTTAAATTAAAAAATTTAGGGGGATTAAGAAAATTGAATAATTTAGAAAACTATTTTCAAAATAGGTGAAATAAAGTTAACTTTTTTGGAAAAACTAAAAAAGTTTTCTCAATATGTGAACCAAACAGAGCCTAAATCGCCCCTTACATTTTCATTCTACTAAAATTTTACTTTTTTTGGGCAAACAACATTAATTCTAAAAATCAACATCAATATTTTAATATTCTGCCAAGGATATGACTATGAATTGTTTTTGTGTATATATGGGGTTTTAGTTATAGCTAGATAAATAATTTAGCATTAGATTTTGACAAGTATAAGAGATTCGGAAACTCCTGTAGAAATCATTAATTTAACAAGTGTATCCAATATTGGAGAGAAGATTTTATTTAGCAGCTAAAAAGCTAGGGATCCATCCACAGACACACACAATGTTTCTTCAATGATAGTTTCTCTATGAATTCAATTTATTTGATGGGGAATCTCAATAGTCCATCCCTTCTTATCCTCAATAAGACCTGTTTGAATTCCTACAAGCGTGGAGTACAGTTCCTGACACGCAGAACCAGCCCCCGTTCTGAATTCAATTCTGCATATTTTCAAGTTATATGTGCTAAAACAAGTTAGAGATAGACCATGAGAAATAATACATACAATTGAATTATTAAGTACCTCCTGTTTTTATATGTAATACTGCCTACTGGAGCAAGCACTACAGCAGTTCCAGTGCAAAATACTTCATCAGCATCAATCAATTCATCCACTGGAATTAAACGTTCCTCAACCTGTTCAGTTTGGGGGCATTTTCAGAAAATCATAAAAGAAAATAAAACCATTTGCATTAATAATAAGGAACTGAGAAAATGTGTTTAGAATCACAAGAGAGCTACTCTCACCTGATAACCATGGTCATGAGCAATGTCAATGACACTTTTTCTAGTAATTCCTTCAAGAATAGTTCCATTTGTAGCAGGAGTCGAAATGACATTGCCCTAGAATGTTAATAAAAACATACATGAGCCAATTCTGGGATGCACCGTAGAACGATATTATCATATTAAAATATCATTACTCTAGTATCTGTTGACTGAATGATTCAAATAAATTGATTTTTACTGATTGAATATTCATTTTAAACGATTGCTTTTGCAAATTCAATATCAACATAGAGTTAGTCTTTCAATCCTGCCTCAGGCTTCAATTGCCAATCGTTTCTCATGTCTTTCTCCCCACTACAATAGACTCAATCCACTGATCAAATCCTCAGATGTTTTTGAAAACGTTTTGATGCAGGACATAGGTGTTAAAAGATTCTATAATTTATTATGATCATCATACGATCCCTTTCCTCTTCCTCAATTGTTCAAATTTGATCAAGGAAACAAGGCGATCTGATACAATTTACGTTTAATTTTATAGTAAAACTTGATTCAGACAATACCTTCACAATAAAAATGTTACAAGAAGAGACTTCCTCCAAATATTTCCTATGTACCGAGTCAAGATACAGGACATCTGAAAATCCTCTGTTTTTGGCTCTGGTTAATGCTTTCAGAACCTGCATTAACGGTGTGACGATAGGATATATAAGAATCTTGATATATTGAAGTTTTATTTTACAACACAAAAAATGTACAATTAAGCTTTTGAAGTGAAATTAAGTCATTGATGAAGCTTCTTTCTCCAGAGTTAGAAGAGAATTTGCTTACAGGCGCATAATTGCCGATTGTTTTCACACCTCCAGCTCCCCCAGGAGTAGCGCGGACAAAATCTTCTTCAATATACAAGTTCAAGGGTGCTGAACCCTCCTGCATCCAAAAAAAGTAATATTTAAACCCTCCTAGTCAAACTCAAATTTGAAACGAAGAAAATCCTGCCTTGAAATAGTTGCCAACAGGGGAAGCATAAACAAGGAACATGTATTCAGGTGCCGGAGCCAATCCCAATACAGGACCGCTTCCCACAAGCAAGGGCCTTATGTACAGAGCGCCTTTTCCTGGAGGAGGAACCTGCTTATAGCCTTGGCGTTATTTTATAAAATCATATATAGAAGTGTTATATTGTAAAAGATGAGCTTAGGTATATAATTTTTCCATTGCAATATGAAGGATTAACATTATCTTCAAAAGAAAGAGAATTACCCAACGCTTGTTTACAAGAGCAATTTGTTTCACTGCATCGACGAACTGATCGATGGAAGGTGAAGGCATACACATTCTTTCAGCTCCCATCTTCATGCGCATGGCATTTTGATCGGGACGGAATACAAGAATACGCCCTTCTTCTGTCCTGTAAGCTTTTGTTCCTTCATAAAGTCCCTGAAAATGATTTACAAACACTTCTATGTTAGTTTATTTTAATTATTTTTGGCCCCAGAACTTAGTAAATCGGCTTAATAACAGTTGTTATTAGCTAAATCCTCTGCTCAATTAAAACAGCATTGTTCTGGGTTGTATCTGTATGGTAATGTTTCTAAAACAAATAACAGTCACGTATGGCCAGTCAGCAATGGAATTTTTCAAAATGGTACCTGTTCTGGTATAGGAATTATACTGTAGAATAATGGCAAGAAATTTTGTCAAATACCACAAATTATATTTGAACAAGTCGTGGAAACAAAGACATTTATGTTCCACCCAACTTAGGCATCATTTTAAGAACCAAAATATTTGAGGCCATCCTGCAAAGTTTCCATTCTGAAAATGTTTTACAAAATAACATTATCCACCCTTTTAAGCTCTAAGAAAATTATATAAGTTGCTGAACATATATAAAATATCAATTTCTGAAAAGAAGAAATCAGCTGCAACATGCCTGTCCGTAATTTAGGACTCCTGCTGAAGGGCTCAACCCAATGTTTCCATAGCGACTAAGCTTCCCTTGTTCAAAATTTTTATCTTTAGAACATTTCGTGATGTACATGTAATCAGCCGGAGTGATACCAAATCCAAGATTATCCCAATCCAAATCAGCATACTCATTATCACTGCAAGCAAGATCATCAAACAACAGAGGCAGAAAATGGAAAGCATATGAAAATCAAAGAGGAAAAAGGCTAAAAATCAATATTTATATTATTGGCATAAGTCATTGACAAATGTCCTAAACTGAGCCTGAGTTGCTTTATGCAGTTACCTGTAATCAGATAATTTGTGTTCTTGTTGCAGAGAGGAGGCAAGCCGACAAGTGTAGCAAAAATAAGCTGCAAGCTGCACACATAAAAAAAATAAGTTATATCTCCGACTATAATGCCGCATCCTTTAATTAATTGAAAGGTGTACTGTGTACACATCACTCAAGGAAAAATTCTTAACGAACAATTGACCGACAACTAACTAAAACAAGAAATCAAATGAGACTTCTGATTAAATGATCAAACTATAACTGATCCATTCATAGACAATGACGGGTTTTGATATTTTCTTAACCTTTATCAAAATCAATCATCCTTGATCATGGAGTACTGTTTCTATTGTCCACTCCTAAATGGAAAGGTAGTTTCTGGCATTAAATAATTACAAGAGCTTATTCATAAAAGATCTACGAGAAGAAACACCAGAAAAAGGCTCATCAAACAAGAAGAGAATCAAAATCCACCAAAACATAGACAACAAACAAATCATTTCTTTTTCAAAAGAAGGCTTCATGATCATTATATAAGAACAAAAATACATGGTAAAAAAGAAGATGTTGCAGCCAACCTTGGACAAAGAAGATCCAGGATGTAATGACTGAGTTAATAAATTGCGTAAGCATGCACTTGTCTGAATCATGGTTCAGGTATAATAATGATTTGCAGTCTTAAATTCTGGATGGGAAGAGAAACTGTAATTTCCAAATACGGATGCAATCTTTGGACACAAATATTGTGTCGAAATCGCCAAATATATATACACAAGAATTATAATTTACACACAAATAAAACTAAGTGTTTCCATGGAATACTAACTAAATTGTAGGGATAAGCGAGAAGTCGGCGAAAAATCTCCAAGGTTCCACGTCAGAAAGCTGATGGGTGAACGTTGTGTTTATTAAAGAAATGTGACGTACGCAATGGTCATTGTATTAAAATAAACAGATGTCACTTCAACATCGCTTTTGTATTTGAGTAATTAAATGGACTTCCACTATTATTTTTACATTTATTCTTGCCATATTTTATTTAACAAGCTTTAAATTCTTTTAAAAGAAAACTAGAATCAGAGTGGGTTAAAAAGAAAAATGTAAAACCTCAACAACAGGAGGAGATTTTATTAAACATTAATTGATCATACATACTCATCAATGTTAGGATTCAAATACATAAAATCAGCTGAGAGGTTATTTGAAATATAAAATGGACACCAGGACTCGAGTGGTTTAAGAGATGATATGGGTGATCAAGTTAATTGAATCCAGTGATGATTTTAATTAATTTAAAGCATTTCATGTGAAAGTGAAACCCAAATAAAATAAACCAAAAACGTTTGGTAGGTGATAGCAACTTATTTGATACGGACACGTCTTTAAAACAGTACGATGTCGAAGCTGTGTCGTATAGCTTAGTCGTTATCGACTGTGCTTTGCTTCTTTATTTACACTACGTTTCGAGTCGCAGCTATGCCATGGCCCATGGCAAGTAAAACGCACCAAAAACATTTGTCTTCCCTAGTTCTTTTTAGTTATTGGAAGATTAATAGTAGTTCTTAGACTGGCTGTGTCTTGATTTGAGTAGTGACCTTACATAACAAGTGTGATTTATATAACAAAACTAATATAGGACCGAATATTATTGAATCAATTAGATAATGCTAAAAATTGGAAGTAACAGAAAGTGGACATGCATTATCGTCATGGCGCGGTCTGAAGATGAAGATGAAGATAAGATCTCCAGGTAAGGTATTAAGTTAAAATTAAAAAAGAAATGAAGTGGGTAAGGTGATAGATACGCAGAGTTTGCAGGGCCCCATTGCCCATTCCGGAATTAGGCAATTTTAGCAGATTGTATTGAATTAAATATGATAGAAGTAAGATCACTCAATCCAATTCTACCAATAACATATTTCTCATGCCATTCACATGCATTCTGTGATATATTGTTGTGTTTTAATTCCTTTTTAAATGGCCGATTAAAGTTTTATATAAGAAACTTAAAACATGCCAATTGCCATGATATAAAATTTGACACCGTTGTTGTCTAGAACAGAGGAATCATTTCAACAATACAATTATATTATTTACAGGACAAATGGGAGAACGCACCTGATGCATAACATTAACATACACAATGTTTTTACATATATAAAAGCAGATGAACTGCTGTAGGTCTTAATGAATCTGAACAGTCCAGCCCTTCTTATCCTCAATTATGCCCCTCTGAATTCCAACAAGAGTTGAGTGAAGTTCCCCACACACGGACCCGGCACCAGTTTTATATTCAGTTCTGAATATACGAAAATGGTACGTGTTAATACAATTTACAGATATAGAGATTTGGCAATTACAGAGAGGGTGTACAAGTGACCGTGCTACCAAATTACTTACAATTACATAATTATGGCAGAATTATTTGTTCTTAAAAGGTTATATATTTCTGATTCTTGTGATTAGAGGAAAAAAGACAAATCTCTAAAAATACTTACTTACCTTTTGTCCCCATATGTAATACTGCCTACAGGAGCAATAACTACAGCAGTTCCTGTGGAAAATACTTCATCCGCATCTACTAACTCATCGACTGGAATTGCTCGTTCCTCAACCTAACATAGGTTGGGAAATATTCAGAATGTATGTGCTTTGCGGAAATAATAAGCAATAGATATCTGAATTAATTTTGTTATACTCTATATGGCCCATTAAAATTCAAAACTAGGTGACCTAATAACTAGGTTTCTCGCAGAGCAATAAACAGAAAACGAAGTCTTGAAAGTTACAACCTAAAGAGAACAAACAACCTATTATAAATAACTGTAGAGAAATACAAAACATCCAAAAAGAAAAAAATGAAATTCTGAAATTGCAAATAATAGATAACAATGGGAAAATTCATGACATTAGAATTACAAATACAACTAGAGTAGTGTGCAAGCCCAGACTCAGATGCAGGATAGCATCAGTGAAATTCGGCAGGCATTCTACACATGAAAAAGGCTAGAAATAAACCTTATTGAAATTTATACCTTCAAAGCTTGATTCAGGAAATTAGGCTCATTTTTAGTGGTCCAGAGGTTAAAATAGTCACCTGGAAGCCGCAATCTCGGGCAATTTCAATGATGCTTTTTCGGGTAATCCCTTCAAGAATAGTCCCATTTGTAGCAGGAGTTGAAATAACGTTGCCCTGGTACAATTGAAGACATGGTTTAGATCTACAGGCGGCCAATTTTAAGACAATGGAAAGTAGAGCTCTATATGGAGCAAACCATAAAACTGGTAATTGGAAATCCATCAAGCATTACAATATGATGAGTGAAGCTTAGTTTGTTCATTCAATTCCTAAATCTATGAAGGTTATCACTCTGTAATAGGTTTACCTGTTTCAAGATTCATTTCTTACTTGCTGTGCCTCTCTGGTCATTTAAAATTCACTTCAAATCTTGATGCTAATATTATGCATAATTGCTAGAATAATTGTTCTCAAAATTACCTTCACAATGAAAATGTTACAAGACGAGACTTCCTCCAAATTTCTCTTATTCACCGAGTCAAGGTACAAGACATCAGAAAATCCTCTGTTTTTTGCTCTGCCTAGTGCTTTCAGAACCTACAGATGATAGAAGGGATATAACAGAGCAAAAAGAAACTGTGCTAAAAATATAGGAAAGAAAAATACAAAGAAACTTGAATTCCATATATATTAAAGTTGATGCCAAAACGGCCCTATATAAAAGGACGCCAATAAGCAATTATCAGTAATCTCTGCAACAGCATGAAAGAAGGAACTTACTGGGGCATAATTAGATATGGTTTTGACACCTCCAGCTCCACCAGGTGTAGCACGATGAAATTCATCCTCCACATACAAGTTCAAAGGAGCCAAACCCTCCTAAATAAAGAATGAGGATAATTTAAACTCTCCTTTTCAAAGTCAAAACTGAAGAAATGTTCAATGAGAAAAATAACCCACCTTGAAATAGTTGCCCACGGGAGAAGCAAATACAAGAAATGTATATTCAGGTGCTGGAGCCAAACCCAATATAGCACCACTTCCCATGAGCAAAGGCCTAATGTATAAAGACCCTTTTCCAGGAGGAGGAACCTGCTTAATTAAAGTTTATAAGCAAAAAGAAGAAAGAGATATTCTAGTGTTCACTACACCAAAGAAGAAAGGTCAATTACCCAACGCTTATTGGCAAGAGCAATTTGTTTCACTGCATCAATGAATTGATCAATGGAGGGACAAGGCATGCACATTCTTTTAGCGCCAATGTCCATGCGAATGGCATTTTGATCTGGACGAAAGAGAATAAGTTGTCCATCTTCCTTTCTGTATGCTTTCAGACCTTCAAACAGTCCCTATAGACAGTCACTGACAACCACGTAAGCATTTGTATTACCCGAGCGTAGTTGTTGGAGGAAACAGAACAACCAATATCAATCTATTGCATCGTCCTCCAAGTCCAAACTTCATATATGTTTCATTTATGAATGCATCATCTGAGTTTTTCAAGACCATAATTAGTTTTGATTTGTGTATCTAGGACAGATCCAGACTCAATCAAAATTTCAACTAGCAAGTACCCATTTCAGTTACAAACTTGGCCGAACTTGTGTGAACACCGTCAAGACAGATCAGAATTCAGAACCCAATTATACATGCTAATCATGTAAAATTCCAATTTGCAAACCACTTATTTTGAATCACTCAACATTAAGAAGTGGTATTTGAGTATAAAATAAACTTCAAACATAAATAAATACATAAGACAGCAGCTTGCCTGCCCATAATTTAAGACTCCTGCTGAAGGGCTCAGCTCAATCTTTCCATAGCGACTAAGCTGTCCTTGTTCAAACTGGCGGTAATCAGAACATTTCATGGAATACATGTAATCAGTTGGCACAAGACCGAATCCAAGATTATCCCAATCCATATCAGCGCAATCATCGTCACTGGGAAACAGAAGTTGAAAGCATAAGGAAAAAGGTGGGGAAGAGAACAAATTAACCACACAATTTACAAGGAATTTGGTTTTACATTTTTGGATCATCCTAATAAACAATTCGGATTATGCTTCGGGTACAAATTTTCATTTTTGCATCATCTTTATCGACTATTCTGATTATAATTAAGGTTTGAATGTAAAAAATCATGTAACCAAGCCACATAATTAGAAGATTTGATTTGGTAATTTTTTTTATCTTTTGAATGCACTCACAATGTTTCTCGTTCATTTTTTCCTCTTAAAATTTCTTATATCTTGGGACTTCCCAAAAAAAAAAAAAAAAAAAAATCATTCCATCATAATTGGCGCAGACAGAGTATTTACAACCCACAACAGGTCATTATCACCAGCAACTGCTGGAGTTAATGGAGAAATTGGTCAACAAATAGGCAGAACAAATGTATTGGTGATAAATTTACACCTTTCTTTGACTGGGTAGGCAAGAGTTTGTCAAAGTATAGAAGCACAACGATGAGCATCAACACAATGTTGTATAGCGTGGTTTGTATCGTTTGTAATTCAATATGCAGTTACCTGTAAGCAGATGATTCGCACACCTGCTGCAGAGAAGACACAGCTTGAGATGTATAACGGTAGTAAGTCCCAAACTGCGAATATGCATGCAAAAATGGATGAGTTCACTGCAATAGTTATAGTTAAGTCTTCCGATTCAAAGGTTAATGATTTTTAAGGAAAGAAACTTTTTTATGCAATCTTATACTTGGATCTAATTGAATGCTAATGATTTTTGAAGGGATATATGATGAAAAATGCCCTGTATTGCTACAATTCTGTTTACTGTCATTTATAACCTAATAATCTCCGACTCCATACCAAGAAAGGAAGGTAAAACCTAAGAATACACGAAGCGATCAATGTTTTAAATGCAACTCGGGACGTTTCAAAAGGAATATAATAAAGCATTAAGATATCAAAGACAAACCTTGGAAAAAGCGGAAGCAGCGCGTAAAGATTGAACCAAATTACGAGAGCATGCAGTTGAAATCATTGCTATTGCTCTTGCTCAGGTATCCTTTCCCGGAAAAGCAAATAAATAAGAGACGGGAAACACTGAACGTTAGACGATGAAAAGTGAGTATCCTTGAGAGGAAGTGCCAATATGCACGTACAGAAATGACACAAATTCCCTACATTTGGCATCTATATGTTCATTTTTAAAGCGACAAGAGAAAGTTGGCGATGCATATCCAATGCATGAATTTGGCTCACTACTCCACATCACTCCGCAGATAAGCTAAGCTAAGAGATGTCTCATGTGACTTGTCCCAAGACAAGCCGACACGTGTCTCTCCATATTTGCTCTGTTCTCTCTCATCCATCATTTCCTCAATATGATAATTAAATCAAATCGGAGTGCTTATCTAATCATGGTAATTTTTCTTTTTTGGTAAGATGTAATCTTAACTAATTTTAAATTATTTTAGCAAAATAACATGCTAAATAATCAACCGATGAGCTTTCGGTAGTCAGTGATCGACCCAGGTCCTTATCTTGGTCTTGCTCAATGCTCATTTGAGCTTGCGTAAATGGCCTAGAACTAGATTGTTTTGTCCTTCCCTTACATGGAGCTTGTGTTATCTAGTGACCAAGATGTCAAATCAGCCACCTAAAATTGAATACTACCACATTCAATTTGGAAAGCATCCTCTTACACGTCTAAAAGTTGTAATTGACCGAGGCCTTTTTGCCCACCTTACAAGTCGAGCTTGTGTGTTGGCTAAAAACTAAGATGCCAAATCAGCAGAGTCTAAAGTTGGATGCAGCCAAATAATTCAGTCAACATGTAACAGAAATAAATGATAATACTTTGTATAGAAACTAATATATAGGATTGTCATATTAGTTTGTAGAAAATAATTTGTATATATAACATTAAATAGTTTGTATATGTAACATTTCTGCAGAAATAATATACAAGGAAAATAAAAGAGAGTTGAAAGTAAATTTAAGGCAGACGGATAACTACCAAGATTTAAACGTTAAAACTTAAAACTCAAAAAGAAAACGTAAATAGGTACTCATTCATGCGATACACTTTTAATTTGTCTTATTACACAGAATTCTGTAGAGACACTTCATTTAGAGATGTGTTCTAGCTTTCAGGGACCCAGCCACAAGACATGGCTCAAATTCAGCGACTGAACCTTAGCCTAAAACTTTTCCAATTGGGACATCATTGTGTGCGACATTTTGGAGTACACGAGCTCAAAATTCATGGGATGGGATAGCTATCATATCGTCATCTATCAGTGTCACAAGGATAGATGGAATCACTACTACTCCACTCAGCTCAATATAATTGTCTATATCCGCTTGGAAATTTTGAGAAAAAGAATGTAATTGGCTAAAGAAGAGACTTATTTGCTAGAGCTACAACTGGAATTCGTGCAATGGACGGCACTATCATATAATGTCTGCCATCAGAGGAAAGTAAAACTGCAAAGCGAAACAGCTGGAAGATGTCAATGTAAAGGAACTAGCTAGCTGGACATTTATATCACTTTGCATTAAGTGATCGGGCCATAATGTTTCTTTTGTTTTTGTTTATAAGGGATGGGGCCTGTATGTCTTAATTTAAATAATGGAATTTCCTTCATCTAGAAGAAGCGATTAAACTCGATCAGCGATCACAAGGGATCGGCAATTAAACTATAGCAACTTAATTATAACGTCAAAATTTCAAGATTCACAAATAGCAGTTAACATTCTTGCTTTTCTCCTTACTTTTACTTCAATACCATTGTCCAACCCATTTTGTCTTCTGTTAGACCCATTTGTATGCTTGAAAGTGCCGAGTAGAGCTGCTGTGACACAGCACCCAGTCTGCTCTCTCTGTAAGACACCCTGTATTACCAAGTACCCAGAAAAGCAAAACGTGACGGTAGCTAAAGGTGAAGAAAAAAATCTTGCTGAATCAAATATTACCCCCTATAGAGTTTCTTTCAATTCAATTTAAGGTTTCATGTAAGCAGTTTAATTTCAGAATTCAAAATAACGAATTCACCTTTTACCCAAGTAAGTAATGCTGCCCACAGGTAGAAAACAAACAGCATCTCCAATGCAAAAGACTTCATCAGCATCAAACAATTCTTCAACTGATACAAGTCGCTCCTCTACCTGTTTACGAGGAATGCCAGAGTAACCTTATTAAACACAGAAAGTAGAACATAGGAGGCCTTTCTTTTCTTAAGACATGGAAAAGAAGATTCCTTGGAAATTAAAAATTCAGGTGGAGAAGAGTCCAAGGGTGCCAAGTGTTAGGCACACCAGAGACTAGCTCAATTTGCATTGTAAAATAAGTACTGCTCCTGAAGAACGACTTTTAGAGTAATGAGTGCTTATCAAATTAGAAGAACAAAAACTTTAAAAGCAGTATCAACTTCATGAAAATTTTCAAAATTTTGCAGCAAAACAGATAAAAGACGAATATCAAGCATGTCTATTACAGTCAATTAGGTAGGTTTGATCAATGAAATTCAAAATATTCATCTGATACTGTCACTCCAATATAAATACCTGGAAACCTAGGCTGCAAGCAATATCAATCATACTTTTTCGTTTTATGCCAGGAAGAATCGTCCCTCTTAGTACTGGAGTAGAGATTGTCTTATCCTAGGAGTTTATAAACAACAGAAGATGTTAAAAGCAAAAGAATGAAGCAGGGATAGGAAAGCCTATTTATTTCAACATCATTATGTTAAAATTAAATGGGGTCATTAATGCCAAAAAAAAAAAAAAAAAAAAAAAACAAAATCTAAGGTCAACAGAACGATTTGTGGCTGAAAGATAATGAGACTGCAAGTTTAATACAAAAGAAGTGGCAAAGCGGAACTCCATGAATATTGAATGTTGTTTCTGTCCAAATTATGTAATTACTAGAACTTTACACAGATTTCCTGCAAGATACCATTGTATCGATCATTCTCAAGTCCCAAAACTGTGCGCCTGTACTCAGCAGCCCAAGACTTTAACAATACATCAGTCATTGCCCTCTCCAAAGACTACTCTTTTTTTTTTTTTTTTTTTTTTTTTTTAATAATCGTAAATATGCAAGGATATTCTAGGTAAAATCTGGAAATTTCAATCATACCTTCACAACAAAAATATTAGCAGTGGAAACCTCTTCCAGATATCTATTGTGAACAGAGTCAAGAAACAGAACATCAGAGAAATCATTTGCTATAGCTGCCGCCTGAGCCTTCAAAACCTGCAAAGAAAAATTTTAAAAGCTCAAATATTTTTTGAAAAATGTCATAATTCATGCTATAGGATGAGCATGGCTGGTATGAAGTTCTTCAAATGGATAAGTGACAAAACAAGAAAGCATGAAAATAAAGACCAGTATGATCATAAGAAGTTACGAACACTATCAAATTAGAGCAGTAAAATAATGTATCAGCTGAGACAGTTTGGTCATATCTAACGAAGTCCAATTATTGCATCAGTAAAAAAAGCGGGTTTCAAGCCTATATGGGTGAAAGGGAATATGAAAATCATGAGACAACTAGACAAGGACATAAGCAAAAAATAGATCTAAGATCAATAAAGCAGAACGAGTGTAGCCAACAACAACACTAAGTAATTAGGAGGCTGCCTTAATGAATTTAATGTCTAAATCTAAATTGATCAGATTGTGCTAACAGGAAAATAGTCCAATCCAAATCATTGCCAAAGTGTCAAGTCCAAAACTAGCTCACCACAGCATAGTTGCTTATAGCGTTTACACCTCCAACCCCACCACAAGTTGCACGTTGAACTTCATTTTCCACCACCAAATTAATCGGTTTTAAACTCTCCTGTCATCATCATACAAAGTAGAGACCTAAATAACAATAAACTTCACCAGCTACAAAGTCCATTCCAAAGAAAAATAAAGAGAGAGAGAGAGCAGGTAATGATCTATTATCCAAGAAAATTTTACAGGTATACATAGGTCAAACATTAAATGATGTGTTAGACTGCACATGGTAATCATCTTGAGGAGTTTCCTCGTAATGTGTCTTAAAAAAAAAAAACAATCTGGAAAGGACAGGTTAATATAAAGGGATGCAAAAAGAGGAAATCAACTGCATACCTCAAAACACTTCCCAACAGGAGTAACATAAATAAAAAAGGTGAATTCAGGAGCTGGTGTAACACTGAGAACAGCTCCAGTCCCCATAAGTAGTGCTCGAATGTGTAAAAAGCCTTTATCAGGAGGCGGAATCTGCGGTATGGCATTGAGCCCATGACTAGGCCATCAAGAAAATGTTTTCTCTTTAGTAAATAACATAATATTGCATTACCCAACGCCTATTTGCCGACACAATAACTTTTACAGCTTCCACAAACTGCTGAATAGTTGGTGCTGGCATACACAGACGATTAGCACCTACTGTCATCCGTAATCCATGTTCCTCAGGACGGAATAACAAGATAGAATCATCTTGTTTCTTGTATGCTCTCAAGTCTTCAATTATTGCCTGAATAAAATAAAAAACAAAATGGATAAAGCATGATTGAGAAGAACACTCTGCAAAACAGAAGCTAATGCAATATTAAAGCATTTATGATGTGCAAAATGCAAAGTCTTCAAACTTCAAAATCAATTATTGATAGGATCACAAGGTGTTGGTAGAAGTGTTAAAATGATCAAGTAATACCAAAAATCATGTTGCCAAATATTATTCAGCAAAATTGGAACATTTATGTACCCACTTCCTTAACAAACATATACAATATAGAATATACCATTGACAACAACAAGAGCACATAAATTGAGAAAATGAGTAAAGAGAACCGGACCCTTAGCCTTTTACCAAAGGGTTCTGTTTAAAGGAAAGACAAACAATCTGCAAGCATCGAAGTTCATAGATCAACCAAATAATTTACTGCACATATAGTCTTGGGAATTAGGAACAACGAATTGAAACATGCATTCACTAAACTAACCTGCCCATAGTTCAAGATACAAGCTGATGGTATCAACTGAATGCTCCCAAAAGGCTGCAAGCCACCATCTGAAAAATCCTCACCTTCCAAACATTTCATAGTATACATGAAGTCAGTTGGCACAGGATTATATCCAAGGTTGTCCCAGTATCCACCAGCTGATGCAGATGTTTCACTGTAGTTTTGAGCGGTCAAAATATTTTGCAAACACAATCAATTGAAAAGTGATAATTCAAAATATCCATTTCCATAAACACACAGAATTAAAAATCATATATCTCTAGTTCACCAACCCAAAAGATGTGAACGTATGAATTGATTTTTTGCAAAAGGGACAAGGGACAAGTGATGGCTCAAAGATTAAATTAGATAAGTCTCTAAATCATTAAGAGTACAGGCTAAGTTGGAGAATTGATTTGTGTTAGTTATAAAATCATAAGAATCATATAAGGAAAGACACCATTTTCTTGTAGGGCAACGTAAATTTCTCCAAATACCTCTCTTTACCGTTTTTATTCTTGATTTTCAGTCATTAAAAGGAAGCAAAATAATATTCAAAATTCAAAATTAAGTTATATTACCCCTGAGAATCTGATGATATAGCATGATGCCATGTTGTTGAAGTTGTAGAAGTGAAGGGACCTAATTGTGAAGAAAATCCAAAACTAATTCGCAACTGATTATGAAGCTGCGACAAAGATAAATATAAAATTACTACTTGAAACTGCAATATGGTTTAAAATTGACTTAAAATTTAATGTCAAGAGTAAAGAGGAAGTGCCTTGAAAGATGATGAGTAATGAATAAGAGCAGCAGTGTTAGAGGAGTAACAACAGCAACGATTAGCAGTAGTGATCGAGAAGACGATGCTGTTGCTATTCACCATCTCTCTGTATTATCTTTTCACTTGTCAATTGTGATCAAGTGTCAGGTGAAACTCAACTCAAGGAAAGGGAGGTTTTCGCGGTGAGATAACACGTGAACAGTTCCAATTTAACGAACAAACACGAAGATGACGCTTTGGTTGATTTGGTTTGGGCCTAGACCCAAACTACTAAAACCCGATTAGTTTGAGTTCTAGGGAGTTCTCAAATATCTCCAATTTCATATGCATTTATTTATTTGGGAATGATTGGCTTTCCCACTAAAAGGAAACACCAAAAAGGCAATTATTATTCAGTGTCACAACTTACAACTTGTGCACATTACCGATTATTCCCATAAAAGTGGCCAACAATAAGTTGGATGAATATTAAAACAAAAAAAAATACAAATGATAGAACGAGATATATCGTCAGTGATCAGAGAATTGTGCAAGAGGAAGAGGGTTGAGCCTCAACCTCAAGTTGAGCCCCAGAGATTTGCGCATCAAGATTGACGCCAGGCCATGCTCGACAATTACAATGTTGGCCTTCGGGGATGTTCTTATAAATGGATGGTAGATGATTTCCGCAACCACCCCAACCGGTCTTCCCGCACGTTGAACACTTCACCTTGTAACACATTTTCTTTTTCTTTGATTATATTTCTCTTGCTCTCTCATTGTCTCAATTTATATAATAAATCATTAAGCCTTCATAGGTAGACTCTCTTTCTTTGCCTAGTGATTAATTCCGTTCCAATTGAGGAAACCAATGGAATTGATGTAGCATCCTAAGATGCATGGAGTTTACTGTCAATTTCTTTTTCTTTGTGGGATACCCCAAAAACCAGCCGAAATGACATATTTGCCCTTGCGGTCAACCTTGAGTTGTACTCTCTCTTGTCATATCAGGATGGGCTTTCTCGACATTGGCGATCAGATTTTAATAGACTTGCGGAATCCACGTTGAAATTATGCGCGAATAATACCCTTGACCGCGACTCCGTGAAAGGGGTCGGGTAGAAAGCCATAAGCGGTAAGATGCTTTGTTGTTAAGAGTAGTGCTTACTCCCAATTGTTAAGGACATGACAACCAATCAGTTGCGATTACGTTAGAATCTTTCCTAAATAAACGATCGTCTAATATTTATGGATCTTCGCCCATATTTAATGGACTCTCATTTATATTATATGGACGAATATTCATTCATTATGGATGGACGTCCATATAAGATAGATGCCCATCCAAACAAATTTAAAAGAAAAATAATGGATGTATGTCCAAAAAAATTTAAAGGCAAAATAATGGGCGTTTGTGATTATTGGACGGGCGTCCGTGATTATTGGACAGCCGTTCACCTATAATGGACGCTCGTCCATGAAAAAATAACACTGTTCATATAATATGGATGGGAGTCTAATTACTATGGACAGACGTTCACCTATAAAAAAAAATTAAAACAAAAATTATGTACAGGCGTCCCTTTTAGATGGACACATGTTCATTGTTTAATTTAAAAAATTTTACACCAACATTTGAGTCTCAATCCAAAAAGTAAATGTCGCTATCTTCATTAAATTTTTGTCTATATTCAAAGTAATTGGACAAGTATCACAAGAATATGGCACTAACTCAATTAGGATTCACAATTAATGCATTAAATAAATTTAAAATTTGTTAATATTAAAAGATGGACGCTCATCCTCATAAGAGGATGGGCATCCATAAACAATTTAAACCAATTTTTTTTAGTTTAAACTATAAACGGGTGTCCATTCTAGGTGGACGGCCGTTTATATAATATGGACGAGAGTCCATAGGACCGTCCAATAACAATGGATGGTCGTCCATATTTGATGGACGGTCGTTCATTTGCGGAATATTTGTTAACGTGATACGTGACTCGTCTGATTCAGTAAACATATCGTTCGGTGTAAAAATTTAGTGCAAAGCGTCGGTGTCCGTAGCCTTTTTCTTTTTGTTATTTGTTTCCCACCTCATCTGAAAACATTACCATCTTTTATAGCTGTTCCATCATTTCTATGATCAACAACATTCAAGTCTAACATCAAAAGAGGGTGTGCAACAAACAACCTTCAATGATAAACCAATTCTTTTAATAATCTAGAGTAATGCTAGCATTCCTCACTCCTCTTACTTACTTCTCTTATTCACTTATAGGGAGAAGTGAGTAAGGCTAGCATAAGATTCCCACATCACTCATTCTCCCCATACATGCAAGGATATTCTAGGTAAAATCTGGAAATTTCAATCATACCTTCACAACAAAAATATTAGCAGTGGAAACCTCTTCCAGATATCTATTGTGAACAGAGTCAAGAAACAGAACATCAGAGAAATCATTTGCTATAGCTGCCGCCTGAGCCTTCAAAACCTGCAAAGAAAAATTTTAAAAGCTCAAATATTTTTTGAAAAATGTCATAATTCATGCTATAGGATGAGCATGGCTGGTATGAAGTTCTTCAAATGGATAAGTGACAAAACAAGAAAGCATGAAAATAAAGACCAGTATGATCATAAGAAGTTACGAACACTATCAAATTAGAGCAGTAAAATAATGTATCAGCTGAGACAGTTTGGTCATATCTAACGAAGTCCAATTATTGCATCAGTAAAAAAAGCGGGTTTCAAGCCTATATGGGTGAAAGGGAATATGAAAATCATGAGACAACTAGACAAGGACATAAGCAAAAAATAGATCTAAGATCAATAAAGCAGAACGAGTGTAGCCAACAACAACACTAAGTAATTAGGAGGCTGCCTTAATGAATTTAATGTCTAAATCTAAATTGATCAGATTGTGCTAACAGGAAAATAGTCCAATCCAAATCATTGCCAAAGTGTCAAGTCCAAAACTAGCTCACCACAGCATAGTTGCTTATAGCGTTTACACCTCCAACCCCACCACAAGTTGCACGTTGAACTTCATTTTCCACCACCAAATTAATCGGTTTTAAACTCTCCTGTCATCATCATACAAAGTAGAGACCTAAATAACAATAAACTTCACCAGCTACAAAGTCCATTCCAAAGAAAAATAAAGAGAGAGAGAGAGCAGGTAATGATCTATTATCCAAGAAAATTTTACAGGTATACATAGGTCAAACATTAAATGATGTGTTAGACTGCACATGGTAATCATCTTGAGGAGTTTCCTCGTAATGTGTCTTAAAAAAAAAAAACAATCTGGAAAGGACAGGTTAATATAAAGGGATGCAAAAAGAGGAAATCAACTGCATACCTCAAAACACTTCCCAACAGGAGTAACATAAATAAAAAAGGTGAATTCAGGAGCTGGTGTAACACTGAGAACAGCTCCAGTCCCCATAAGTAGTGCTCGAATGTGTAAAAAGCCTTTATCAGGAGGCGGAATCTGCGGTATGGCATTGAGCCCATGACTAGGCCATCAAGAAAATGTTTTCTCTTTAGTAAATAACATAATATTGCATTACCCAACGCCTATTTGCCGACACAATAACTTTTACAGCTTCCACAAACTGCTGAATAGTTGGTGCTGGCATACACAGACGATTAGCACCTACTGTCATCCGTAATCCATGTTCCTCAGGACGGAATAACAAGATAGAATCATCTTGTTTCTTGTATGCTCTCAAGTCTTCAATTATTGCCTGAATAAAATAAAAAACAAAATGGATAAAGCATGATTGAGAAGAACACTCTGCAAAACAGAAGCTAATGCAATATTAAAGCATTTATGATGTGCAAAATGCAAAGTCTTCAAACTTCAAAATCAATTATTGATAGGATCACAAGGTGTTGGTAGAAGTGTTAAAATGATCAAGTAATACCAAAAATCATGTTGCCAAATATTATTCAGCAAAATTGGAACATTTATGTACCCACTTCCTTAACAAACATATACAATATAGAATATACCATTGACAACAACAAGAGCACATAAATTGAGAAAATGAGTAAAGAGAACCGGACCCTTAGCCTTTTACCAAAGGGTTCTGTTTAAAGGAAAGACAAACAATCTGCAAGCATCGAAGTTCATAGATCAACCAAATAATTTACTGCACATATAGTCTTGGGAATTAGGAACAACGAATTGAAACATGCATTCACTAAACTAACCTGCCCATAGTTCAAGATACAAGCTGATGGTATCAACTGAATGCTCCCAAAAGGCTGCAAGCCACCATCTGAAAAATCCTCACCTTCCAAACATTTCATAGTATACATGAAGTCAGTTGGCACAGGATTATATCCAAGGTTGTCCCAGTATCCACCAGCTGATGCAGATGTTTCACTGTAGTTTTGAGCGGTCAAAATATTTTGCAAACACAATCAATTGAAAAGTGATAATTCAAAATATCCATTTCCATAAACACACAGAATTAAAAATCATATATCTCTAGTTCACCAACCCAAAAGATGTGAACGTATGAATTGATTTTTTGCAAAAGGGACAAGGGACAAGTGATGGCTCAAAGATTAAATTAGATAAGTCTCTAAATCATTAAGAGTACAGGCTAAGTTGGAGAATTGATTTGTGTTAGTTATAAAATCATAAGAATCATATAAGGAAAGACACCATTTTCTTGTAGGGCAACGTAAATTTCTCCAAATACCTCTCTTTACCGTTTTTATTCTTGATTTTCAGTCATTAAAAGGAAGCAAAATAATATTCAAAATTCAAAATTAAGTTATATTACCCCTGAGAATCTGATGATATAGCATGATGCCATGTTGTTGAAGTTGTAGAAGTGAAGGGACCTAATTGTGAAGAAAATCCAAAACTAATTCGCAACTGATTATGAAGCTGCGACAAAGATAAATATAAAATTACTACTTGAAACTGCAATATGGTTTAAAATTGACTTAAAATTTAATGTCAAGAGTAAAGAGGAAGTGCCTTGAAAGATGATGAGTAATGAATAAGAGCAGCAGTGTTAGAGGAGTAACAACAGCAACGATTAGCAGTAGTGATTGAGAAGACGATGCTGTTGCTATTCACCATCTCTCTGTATTATCTTTTCACTCGTCAATTGTGATCAAGTGTCAGGTGAAACTCAACTCAAGGAAAGGGAGGCTTTCGCGGTGAGATAACACGTGAACAGTTCCAATATAACGAACAAACACGAAGATGACGCCTTGGTTGATTTGGTTTGGGCCTAGACCCAAAATACTCAAACGGCTGGGGGTGGAAAAACCGGTTAACCGGTAGTTTGAACCGAACCGGTTTTCGGTTTTCAAATAAAATTGAACCGAAACTAGTCCGATTTATAATCGAACCGAAAATTCGGTTCGGTTAATCGGTTAATTATAATGGGCTGGATTTCAAGATTTTTTCGGCCCAATTCTATCAAACTCTCCACTTTGGTACATTTTTTTTTTTTTTTCCAGGTTTTTTTTACACTTGAATAATTTGAATTCATGGCATTTCAGTGACTGAGAGAAAGAAGAATGATGAGTTGGTGACTGCAAGTCTGCAACTATGGCTGCCTGGTGTCTGTCGTCTAGTGAGCAAAGATCAGTGACTGCATTGACTGGTGAGCTTTTCGGTGACTGAGAGAAAGAAGAATGGTGAGTTGGTGATTGCAAATCTGCAACTGAAACTGCAACTGCGACTGCCTAGTGTCTGTCGTCTACCGTCTGGTGAGCAAAGATCGACGGCGTGAGCAAAGATCGGTGACTAGTGAGCTTTCCGGTGACTGAGAGAAAGAAGAATGGTGAGTGCTGACTGCATGTCTGCAACTGCCTGGTGGAGTGGTGTGACGGTGTCTGCTGTCTGATGAGCAAAGATCGGTGGCATGAGAATTGGGAAATTTGTGATTTTGTGTGGCTGAGGGCCTGAGGCAGTGAGGCTTGACCGCATGAGAACAGAGAGTTTGAGAGAGAGTCGAGAGAGACAAAGAGTGAGAGTGAGAGACTGAGCGAGTGAGTGACTGAGAGTTAGTCAGTTAAGGTCTTACACTCTTACTTAGGGATTCCAAAGTCAAAAACCCAAAATGAATAATTTCAAATTTGTTTAAAAATTTGGTTAAAAAACCAGTTTCCGGGTAACCAAAATTCATTTAACCAAAAACTGAACCGAAACCCAAAAAAACCGAATTTTCGGTCCGGTTCGATTTTCGGGTTTTTTTTCTAGGGATTTCTCAAATTTTTTCAATTTCATATGCATTTATTTATTTGGGAATGATTGGCTTACCCACTAAAAAGAAACACCAAAAAGGCAAATATTATTCAGTGTCACAACTTACAACTTGTGCACATTATTGATTATTCCCATAAAAGTGGCCAACAATAAGTTGGATGAATATTAAAACAAAAAAAATTATAAATGATAGAACGAAATATACCGTCAGTGATCAGAGAATTGTGCAAGAGGAAGAGGGTTGAGCCTCAACCTCAAGTTGAGCCCCAGAGGTTTAAGCATCAAGATTGACGCCAGGCCATGCTCGACAATTACAGTGTTGGCCTTCGGGGATGCTCTTATAAACGGGAGAACGACTTACACGTACCCAAGGTTTGTCGTAACGATAAGTTGGTACCTAAAAGGTTTTGAAACGACAAATAAGTACCTTCCGTCATGTTCTGTTAGTGATTTATGTTTATTACTGTTTATTAATAGTAAAAATACTAAAATGCCCTTAAAGGTTTGAATTTTAGTTTTTTATAAATTTCTAAAAAACCCCCTAAGTTTACAAATTTAACTAAATACCCCAATGTATAAAAATTTTGTAAAATAATAAAAACACTCCCGCCACCTGTAGTGCCAGATTCCGGCCACCACCGCCGGAATCTGGCCGGAAAGTTGCGTTACGACACAGACTCGTCGGATCTGTGTCGTGACGCGTCGATCTGGCCTTTTCCGGCCAGATCCGTGGCTAATCTGGCCGGAAAAGGCCAGATAAAGGCTAGATCTGGCCGTCGACGCCGCAAAACTCCATCTGCGGCGTTGACGGCCAGATCTGGCCCTTTCCGGCCAGATCAACCACGGATCTAGCCGGAAAAGGCCAGATCTGGCTGTTGCTTCGACGGCCAGATCTTGCCTTTTCCGGCCAGATCCGTGGCGGATCTGACCGGAAAAGGCCAGATCGGCACGTTATGACACAGACCCTGTGTCGTAATGTAGTTTTCCGGCCAGATTCCGGCGATGGTGGCCGGAATCTGGCACTGGGGGTGTTTTTGTTATTTAACAAACTTTTTATATATGGGGGTGTTTAATTAAATTAGAAAACTTAGGGGGTTTTTTAGGAATTTTTAAATTTATAAAAAACTAAAATTTAAACTTTGAAGGGTATTTTAGTCTTTTCACTATTAATAAACAGAAATCAGTAACAGAATATGACGGAAGGTACCTATTTGTCGTTTCAAAACTTTTTAGGTACCAATTTGTGGTTACGGTAAATCTTGGGTATGTACAAGTCGTTCGACCCTTATAAACGGATGATAGATGATTTCCACAACCACCCCAGCCGGTCTTCCCGCACGTTGAGCACCTCACCTTGTAACACATTTTCTTTTTCTTTGATTATATTTCTCTTGCTCTCACTCCTTGTCTCAATTTATATAATAAATCATTAAGCCTTTCATTGGTAGACTCTCTCTTTTTGCCTATTCATTAATTCAGCCAACAGTTTTATTTATTCCAATTGGGGAAACCAATGGAATTGATGTAGCAGTAGCATCCTAAGAAGCACGGAGTTTACCGTCAATTTCTTTTTGTTTTTGGGATATCCCGAAAACCAGCCGAAATGACACATTTGCCCTTGTGGTCAACCTTGAGTTGTACTCTCTCTTGTCATATCAGGATGGGCTTACTCGACATTAGTGATCAGATTTTAATAGACTTGTGGAATCCACGTTGAACTCATGCGCGAATAATACCCTTGACCGTGACTCCGTGAAAGGGGTCGGGTAGAAAGGCGCAAGCAGTAAGATGCTTTTTTGTTATTTGTTTCCCACCTCATCTGAAAACATTGCCATCTTTTGCAGCTGTTCCATCGTTTTCTATGATCAACAACATTCAAGTCTAACATCAAAACTCAAAAGAGGGTGTGCAACAAACAGCCTTCAATGATAAACCAATTCTTTTAATAATCTATTGGTACAATTGTTTCGACGTATGAAAGCATTGAATGTGGTTTTAATTATTTGGATCATATGATAGAAAATTTAAGAGGAATCAAACTGAAATAAACTCAAAGCCATATTACACTAAATTTAAGTGCACATGTTTCAAATTTCAAAACTATTTGTGAGGTAATTGTTAGAAAGAAAATTCTCAATTCAACAATTAAGAGAATATGATGTTTAAGAAGATGCTTTTGAAATTTTTAAATGGGCTCTTGATTGGCCCAAAAATCACCACTTAATGGTCAAGTAATCAACAAGTTGGGCCGTATTGGACTTCTGGTACTGAACCCAAAACTCTGATAAAGCCCATTGAGGCTGATCTAAATTCATTTAAATCCATCTACGTCACGAATTCACGAGATAAACAATAGGGTAATGCTACATTTACACCACCCATTACATCATTTTTATTACACCATCACCATTTTACTAATAATTATTTTATTATAATATTAAAAATTTGTATGAATGTGACATATGCCACATCATGGTGTAATGAAAATGATGTAATGGATGGTGTAAATATAGCATTACTCTAAACAATAATATCAGTATATCACGCCACTCTCATGCAGTCATGCCTTAACGCCAATCCTAGAAGTTAATATCATACAACAATATCGTTTCACTTGTGTCACACATCAAAGTGTGGATATTAGTTTTATAGATCATTTATGCTTAATATCAGTACAACATATATAAATACTATATATATATATATATATATATTTTTTTTGTGTAAATGGAATAAGGCATGATTTTAAGTCATCTAAATGTGAAAGTGTAATTTTTCAAAGCAGAAAAAGAAAAAGTCAATTGCTAATAATATTACCAACAGTTTTAGGACAATGAGAAATATACAATACATTGTATTTAGACCGGTGTGTTCAATGGTTGGATTGGATAAGTATATATCTACTTTAACGCACATTAAATGTGAATATATCCATTACAGTCATGGTTAGTGGATAAATCTGTGAGCATATATAAAGAAATCTACTTTTTCTTCTCCAGTTCCGACGAATCCCACTAAAATTCAAGTTCACATGCTTTGTACCCATCTCTCGCAACAGTTGACATGAAAACAAAAAAAAAAAAAAAAAGCCCAAATTTATGCCGATGAATCGATCCCTGGTGGCCCATACCCACTTGAATGTGCGATGTGCATCTTGCTTAAAACATCCATTTAGGCACAAAGTGAGCCTGTCCCAAAGCGACGGAGGATGCAGTGTATCCAACAAGCCATGTCTAAATACTGTATATTATAGTAAAAACAATTGGGAAAAAGAATAAGGCATGATGTTCATGGATGATGAAGGGTGAGGTGGGAGCTGACATGGGCTTTCTCACTCTAATATTATTAAAAATGTAAGAGGAAGCATGAAAGTTGAGTCCCACAGTAGTAGCAATTAGTTGAGATTTAGGACAATCTAAGTGGGGTAGATTTAGCTTTGCTTTTTGAAAAGTCGGTGCCATGCTGATGCTCTTATGCCATGAAAATCAAAGTGGATTATGTTACTTTGACTAATGACTAGACCACTCTTGTCCCACTTCCAAGCTATTCCATGCCGGCCCCCTCAACGTCACCTATGTGACATATCTCTTTTTATTATAAAAATAAGTATATGATCAGCACCAGAGAAATCCTTTGATCTGTAGATGTTTTTAATTAAAATGAGTTGTAAGTGGGATTAAAACAAAAACTAAAAAAGAAGCCATGTGGAAATCACAAGAGATAAAAGATTCGAAATGATAATACGGTGAAAGTGAGCAAAGTGATAACGTAGATTACAATCAATTATAAACAACAAGTTGAACAAATGCAAACAAAAGTGGTGGCTTCCTTGATTTGAGCGGTTGGTATGTAAATAAAAGAGAAGTAGAAAAGCCAAACAAAGAGCACAATCTCACACTATGAATGGTCGGCTACCCTTAAAGGCCGCAATCGCAATGCTGAAACCTTATCTCCAACACCACCACCCCCCCACCTCCTCTATC